TGTTGCTGTTGTTGCTGTTGTTGTTCAACTGACACCTCTTCTGTTCCAACACACGCACCCAAAAACAAGCTTCTCCTTCTTCTCTCTTCTCCCTTCTGCTTCTTCATCTTCTTTTTTTGTCAAGTTTCAGTTTGGCTGTGTTTACTAACACCGGAACCTCGCTAAAACCTCACGGAACGCTGGTTAAGTGAAAATATTTAAGCGAGGACTGCTCGAGAAATTATTAATTAATGTTATTATACAATTTAGTTGTTTACTATTAACTCTTTTTTTAGAAATTGTTGATAAACATATATCTGAAGTCAACATTTAACTTTGTCAAAAGTGATCTGATTTATGATTTGACTTATAGAATAAAACTACGTTTAGAGTTGGAAACGCAATTAAAGCTAGAAAATTTAGGGAAAAGGGAGTTGAAGATTTGATCGTTGCCTTAACTTTATCAAAACTAATCCGATTTTGAATCACGATTCTGGCGCGAAATTCATGTTAAAGTATTATTCTCAAACATTTTCCATGACTTTTTAATATGGATTTGACTTCTATATAAATACGACCATTAATATTGGGAAGCGCCAATTTGTTATTCCCCGAGCAAGTAATTTCATTAGTTATTGAACCACCCTCTTGGACATTTTCATAACCCATGCAACATTTAGTTTCTGTTGGTTTTTGTGTGTTGACCGACGGCGACGATCGTTTGGTAATTATCAGGCAGTGGCAGAGGCAGTGGCAGAGGCAGTGGCAGAGGCAGTGGCAGTGGCTGGGGCAGTGGCAGGGGCATAAATAAGTTTGTACAACGCTGACTATGTTGCTGGTGGTTCTTGTGGTCTTTGGGGTCTTGGTCTTGGCGTGGTTGCGCCTCAGCGGTTTCAACGCCCCGTTATCGCCCACACGCCCCCTCGTAATTGTTGTTGGTGTTGTTGGTTGTTTGGTGCCTGGGAAAACATTTGCCTTCTTCGCTTTTGGCCATGTCTTGCTGCACTTGTTCTTATTGAATTACGGCCAGAGAGCCCTTCACGTTTGGACACGCAAATTCTGCCATTATGCCATGTATATTATGGTTATTTCTTTTTTTCTATATACATACATATATATATATATACATATATGCACACAGTTGAATGATCTTCATGCTTGAGTGCAAAATGTTGCAAAAGTCGTTGTCGTTGCTAGTTGCTTGTTGCTTGTTGCTTGTTGCTTGTTGCACTCTCTCACGTTGTAACTGACACTGCGGCAATTTATTTGGAGGCCTTTGGTCTGCAATTTACACAAATTATTTTCATTTCAGCTCCTACAAAGTCTATTCTTTGTATACACTTGGCGAAAATCCATTGGTCTTTATAGCACTCACGAAATTATTTTATTATACTATTTTAGTATAAGTTCGATTTAAATATTATCATTTAGATATTTCTTTAGGCAAGAGCTTGTTCATTGGCAGTTTCTTACTTAAATTATGTACTCAAATTCTTAAATCAATCATGAGATCATTTTTTTTTTAGAGAAAATAAATGCTTGTATTAAGTATTATTTATTTAATTATTAATTGTCGATTTTCAACTAAAAAAATGGTGATTTACCGAATATGCAAAAAAACTATTTCACTAGAAATTCCATTCATTCTGATTGTAGAATGTTTAAAACTTGTTTTAAGCAAAATAAATGCTTGCTTTAAGTATTTTATAATTGATGCATGATATTTTGTCGAATTTAAATTATAAAATGATGATGTAAAGACCGAAACTATGAATTCCAATCAAACTGAACTGGAATTTACTTCTCACTGCCTTTCTATGTCTCTCTGGCATGTAAATCTCTCCCCATTTCTCACTCTCTCTCTCTCTCTCTCTCTCTCTCTCTTTATCTAACTCTATGAATAGTATAATATATATATATTCATATTCAACTCGCTCCACAAAGCTGTAATTTGAGGTCGCTAAGCTGCTCGTCAAGTCATAATTAGGCTTTAATGCTAAATTAGATTAATGATGGGCCCACATTAGGCACTCGACAATTAGAAACACCACCAGCACAACAATAGACTCCACTCTAAGACTAGATCATGTCGTGTAGTCTCCTCTGCCTCTCCACTCTGTCTGTCTGTCTGCCTGTCTGTCTGCCTGTCTGTCTGTCTGTCTGTCTGTCTTCGTTGCCTGTAGGCAAAAACACGCAAGCCGAAACAAAACACACAGATAAGACCCAAAGCTGGCATGCTGATGAAGAACCAAGTTCTAAATCTTGTAGTTTTTGTAGAACGTTGGCGGTGCCAAACATGGTAATTAGGCTGGGAGATTACCTTGTTGCCTTATTATCTTGGCACACACAAGGAAGTTCAGTCAAAATTAGTACAATGCCAAGATGATGCTGATTTGGCTGTGAATCACTGCTGATGAGTACACAAATTGCAGCTACAGCGGCTCACAGAGCAAGCCAAAAGTTGGCTGTTTAAAATAAGCGTTGGCAATAATTATGATTGTAATTTGTCAGCCATCTAATGCAGCTGCCAACTAAGAACTATACGAAAACTAAGCTTATTTTTGTTGAATTAGAACATCAAGCATCAATTTTAAAATGAAGAGTTCTTGAAAAGTAAAACTTGAAACAAAGATAGTCATTAGTAAGTAATCACTAAAGCTAATCACATCTTATAATTTAACGTCTTAATTTAATGGCAAAGTTTCATTTGAAAAAGAAAGCGAAAGAGCTCCAACAGTTTTTTTTAATTTTAAGTACGATTAAAAAAAATATTTAAAAATATTTAAGCAAGCGCAAATAAGACTTAAAAATATAAAATTTATTCCTAGAACTTGTCATTATTTCATGCTTGAAAAATCACATTTAGTGTCTGAAGTTGTTCAAGCTGCAACATAATTTGTAAAAATATGCTTAGAAGATGGAAAACGCTTCTGGAAAAGGAAGCAAACGCTTAACAACAATTCTCGAAGCATTAATCTTCCACACTCTGTGCTCCAAGCATGAACAACATGAATATGAAGACAAGGAAAGAAACTCTTGAGCCACATTTGTGTGCCACAAGTGTCTCTATGACAAACTATGAATGAGAGTCTTTGTTTTTTATGTGCCGCAGCAGCAGCAAAAAAAAGCCAACAAGTGAAAAGCACAAAGGCAACTGTTGCCGCCGCCATTAGGTAATGTGATCTACGCAGGCAAACAGACAAACACAACAACAGCAACAATCAGCAGCAACATCATCTCTGCTCGCCCATAGCTGTATCTGTATCTAGCTGTGTGTGTATCTTTTGTGTGTGTATCTTTTGCGTGTGTATCTTTTGTCGCTATGCAAATCTGCATATCGAATGCATATCTTTGTTTTGTGGCTCCCAAACAAAAACTCGGCTACATTGCGCCCATCTGCACTGAGAGAAATAACTCATTTGGAATACAAATGCATTTTTAAACATTTTTGCCTTCAAATTTCAAGCAGAATTCTCTTTTAAATTAATGTGATATAATCATAAATATAAAATAAGAACAATACTAAAATCGACGATCAAAAATTCTTGAATTAAGCACAAATTACTTTCTTGGACTCAAAAGATGCGTAAAACGGTAAAAATTCTATACAATTTTTCAATTCTTTTCTGGTGGATTTAGGTATAATTTTAAATATTATGCAGAGTATCAAAGCTTCTTTAATTTGTATGAAAGAAAACTTTCATTCTGTATTCATCGGTTTTTGTTTAATATTAAATTCATATTCATTATTATTATCATTCACAACGTAAATTGAGTAACTAAATTCCCTACTTTAAGTAAACAGTTTCTGCTTGAAACCCACTCAATATTTTCGCTGAGTGTACGCTGAAGATAGGCATCTCCGACTGACTGCCAAAAGTGCGTGCCTCTCACTGGGAGCTGGCGACTTTCAACTGACAATCAGCAGCTCAGTGGGTTGCCTTGCCTTGAGTGGTTTCAGTTGCAGTTGCAGTTGAAGTGGCAGTGGCAGTTGCAACTCCAGTTGCTGTAACGGCACATCCAACGCCCCACAGCGGATTTGCATGCCATTATGAAGATTCTGTGGCGTTGCTCGTAAAAAAAAGCCACTTAATGATGTGGCATATATAAGGGCCTCATTTCATTGCGGCATATAAGGAAAACAAAAAATGTTCTAAGCACAATATACAAAGCGACTTTAATTATAAGCCGCGCCACAAAATTGTAACATGCCCAAGTTGTTAAATCCGACGAACCGAAAATTGCTCACATACACTGAGACCAAGAACGAGGACCTAAGATCGCAACTAGACAGTAGACAGCAGACAGCAGACAGCAGACAACCTCAAACTAGGCAATTGTTTTTGTGCAACAATGCGGAACACAAATTAAATTGGCTTTGAGGTGGCAGCACTCAAATTGGGCTTGTCAACTGCCTGTAAAGAGTTGAAAAGTTCAAAGTTTATAATCAACCAGACAAAATAACTAAATAAATAAAAGGCAAAACGAAGATACTCTTTGCAGCTTTATATAGCTGCTTTAGGATGTAAATTAAATTCCTTATTCGATTGTTACTTTGTTATTTTTTTTTTTAAAAAAAAAAAAAAAAAAATAAAAAAAAAAAAAAAGGGGAAGTTTTTTTTTATAAAAAATATTTTCCTCTGCTCAGATTGGCCATTTAATCACGAAGAACTTCACGCTTACTATTAACTTACAATTCAGACTCGAGTTCAGTGATCCTCGCCCAAAGAGCCTTAAGAAAAGTAACCAATTAAATACTACTTGTTCAAATTTTCTAAGATAAAAATGACATGAAACAAGATATTATTTTGCACTCGCTGCTGGAAAATATATATACCCTGTGGGATCGGAGATGTTTGCTACAATACAACTTATAATTCCCATATTAATATAATTTAATAATAATTGAAATAATTCTCAATTAGTTTACTGTTCTCTTACCTTGCCCCTTAATTTGATATAATAACAATTGCAATGAATAATTCTCAACATATTTGCTCTTCTCTAAACTTACAGGAATCACCCTAAAAAAAATTGTAGTGCCGAAACTATTCAAATTCAAAAATGGACACCGGAAGTGTGGTTAGCGAACCGATTTCTGCGCATCATCGAGCCTTTGCCAAGCAGAAATCGGCCTCCATGGTAAGTTCAGCTGGCAGTTCAAGTAAAGTTGTGTAAACCAACCAAACCAAAAACAAAAAAAAAAACAAAAGCAACAAAAACAAGCACTCAAAGTATTATTTGCCCATAATTATAAATAGTTCACTGGCGCCCCATTGTCTAATTCGATGATATAAGCGCGCAAATAAAGCGCAGCTAATTAGCTACAGCCACGCACAGACGAACTAAGTATCTACATACATAATTGTACATAAATAAATACATGCATATACATATATATATACTAATATATGGATATATTAATCAGCATCAGTTACTTAACATAATTTCGCGCTAGAAAGTTGTCGAAAATAAAAAGCGCAAATAAAAACCCAAAAAAAGCAAACAAAAAAAACAAGTACACAGCTAACATGCAACATGATGTATGTAAAGGAAAAATAATGCCAGAAAGTTAAAAATTGGCAACTTAATAAAGCGTGAATACATCCAGCCTAAAGCACCAACAATTTACAGCTATTAATTGTTAATGCATCGTAATGCATTTTTGGGCAACACTTTCTCAAACTCATTTACAGCCAGCGGCTTAAATTACACATTTCGACAATAATCTTTCCACACAGTCAGCGTGACCTATCCATTAGTTTTTCGCGAATGTGAATTTCGAAAACCTCAATATCGTATTGTATGTCATTTAGCTTAATTATGTATATGGTCAAGTCATTGTTGAAATATTTCTATAATGACTGTAGAATCTAAAAATGGAATTAAAGTCTCTTTTGAATTGTGCCCAAAAATACTAACGCAAAAGCCAATTTCAAAAGTGCAGTACTCTTTATGTGTATTGGTTTAAATGAAATGAAAATAAAGCTGACTAATCGTGATGAGTTAATAATCGAAATAATTAAAATTCTGCCGCTGTTAGCAATTTGTTATTATGTTAATATTAACAGAAAACTAGACAAAGCAGTGCAAAATCAGTTAAAGCAGTTGAAAGCAGTAATGAGCAGAAAATTAAGCAAAGTTGATTATTATTTAAAGACAAAACCAGTTGATTATTATTTAAAGAAAACCCAAATTGATTATTATTTAAAGACAAAACAAGTTGATTGTTATTTAAAGACTTTCGACGTTTGTTATGTTTATAGAATTGTATAAATTAGTGGCATTAAGTGGTTTTCTTACAATGCCCAATGCTCGAAAGATATTAGTTTTACGCCTACATGAAGTAATAAAAACAGCTCTTACTCAATGCTCGTTCAGAAAAAGAGAGAAAGAGATTTTGGATGAACACATTAAATAAAAACACAAATAGAAAGAGACCTGTAGGTGGCCAACACTTAAGTGAAGACTATTTTATATTACCTCTAATAATATGTGGCCATTTCCGACGTCTGTTAAAGAAAATAACACACTCTTGACTTTCCACACACATAAATACTTAAATACAAATGCGAAAAAGACAAAAAAAAATTGGTTGAGCAGTCATCCATGGCACTAAAGAAAATAACAGCATCAAAAGTCTTCTATTGAAACACTTTCACTGAAAGCGAAAATATTGAAAGCAACCGTAACGTACGAGTATTTTTAGATGTTTAGAAAGAAACCAAAAAAATTAAATTGTGGGTATATAGTCATGTATAATTACTACATACATACAAATCCTTATAAAAGACGATCAGATGCTGATTGAATTAGAGCTGACAATTAGCATAAGATATGAATATTTAATACAATTTTCTCCCAACTCAACACCCCGTGTGTAAATTCACACACCCAATGAATACCCTTGTGTCAAATACGGTCAATTAATTTCTTCCACAAAATTGCACCAATTATTCAACACTAACGAAATTGTGAAAACGGTGCAGTAACAGTTGCTGTAATGTACGCAAAATGAATTAATGATCTACGAAAAAGTCACAAAAAAAAGAGGACGAGGAAGTTCTCACGTTCAAACTGGACAATGTCCGGTCGTAACAAGAACAACAACTTCTGTGCAGCTAGCATATTACAAGATAAGGGGTTAACTCTAAGCGACACACAAACACACACACACGCACACATATATTTTAAAGGGTGCTTCGGTTTCAGTGCATTCGGTCGGTGGTTGTTCTTACGAGTGCATCTGCGAGTTGCGAGTGTAACGGTTCTGTTTGTTTGCCGGCTGTCGGCATTTCTTATTGCACATTTTACTTTGTGCTCCGATTTGCTGTCGATGTGCACGTACACGCAACCGAAAGCTTTTCTTACGTCATTGGCAACCAGCGGAGCAGCAACAGGTTAGCTAGCTTCTGCTCATAAAAGCTTGATAAATGTGTACAAAGCTTTCAGTTGACGAAAGAACGTACGCGTGCCAACAGCTGTTTTATTCGAGACAGCTTTTTTACTTATCTCACAGTTTTGTTTTGTTTGTAAATTCATAAAAAATTCACCAGAAATGTTTGTAAACGCATTATGCTCTTTGTGTTCGTTATGTGATATGCTAGTTTAATGTAAAAACAGCTGCAAATTTAAAGTGCATGCATGAAACACACACAAGTCAATTGTGTATGTGTACTGTATTTGCTTATCTATTAACAATTCATTATATGGCATAAATTATTAAGTCAATTAATGCTTCGGTAAAGCAACGTTTACAAACATTTCGCTAATTTATTTATACCATTCCATACACGTGCCTATCTATACACATATACATATACACACACACAAACATAAACAATAAACAGCCGACGATTTGGGCAACCGGTTAAAGTAAAATAATATAAATAAAGCCATCAAAAGCTTTCGGCATCAGCTTAAGCTCTTGCACACGCAAGAGTAGCCACCACCTCTCCCGTTTACACACAAACACACATCTGCAAGCTTCAATCGAAAAATGAGAATCGCGAGCGTTAGTCTGCTTTCAGCTCTCGTTCGGCTGCCATCATTTGTGATCCGCTCACCTGTCGTGGCCCATAATAAAGGCTTCTGCGCCGCTTTAAGTGTTTCATCACAACGGTCATTTTGTCAATCAGCAGCTGCAATGACGTTGCCAGAGCGTAAGCCATTCACGCCGGATTTCTTCTTTCGGCAAGTGAGTACGCCGTGTTATCTCACTATTTGTGCTTTGCAAAATGATGAATAAAACAATAAAAAAAACAAACAGTTATTCGACACGGAGAGCAGCACGTACAGCTATCTGCTGGCAGACGCTGGCACAGGCGAAGCTGTCATCATCGATCCTGTCCTGGAGCAGGCCAAGCGTGATGCGCAACTCGTTAAGGATCTGGGATTTAAGCTCAAATATGCCAGTAAGTGCCTTACACTCTGTGGCTGAAAGATATGAATTGCATTTATCGATATCGATATATGATAGTTAACACGCACATGCATGCCGATCACATCACGGGCAGCGGCTGGCTGCGGCAACTGACTGGCTGTCAGTCTGTCATTGCTGCTGCAAGTGGCGCCAAGGCGGATCGTCATATTGTGGAGGGTGATCACATTGCGTTTGGACGCCACTCGATTGATACACTGGCGACACCTGGACACACCAACGGCTGCATGAGCTATGTGATCAAGGAGCAGGGTTGCATCTTCACCGGCGACACGCTGCTGATTCGTGGCTGTGGACGCACCGATTTTCAGGAGGGCAGCGCAAAGCACCTCTACCAGAATGTCCATGAAAAGATCTTCTCTTTGCCGGAGAACTATCGCGTCTATCCGGCGCATGACTACAAGTGAGTTGAGCGACTTGACTTTGTGGATTTGCCAGGTGGATAACTTTTTGCCTTGCAGGGGTCAGCTGGAGAGCAGCGTGTGGGAGGAGAAACGCTACAATCCACGCTTGACAAAGAGCATCGATGAGTTCGTCCAGATTATGGACAACCTGAATTTGCCTTATCCCAAGAAAATCGGTAAGTATTCAAAAATATACAAGACTTAAAAGCTAAAAACTCGTTTTTTGTAGATGCATCTCTGCCAGCTAATCGTGAGTGTGGTGTTTACGATATACCCAAGGAGTAGAGAGGCGCAACATCTACAACAATATATAATAAATATATACTGATTGTCTAAGTGGAATTGGAGATTAACGCCACGGCTCAAGATACATTTACTATTCTAACTTTGACTGCAATAGGCTCCATTGTTGATATGTATTTATTGCATTCATTAATATTATATACCCAATATGTATTTCAATGTGCATTCAAGTTAGACAACTACCTCTGATCTATATTTTTATACATGTTAAATAAACCATTCTTGAAAAGTGCAATACAAATATTTTATTAGAGTTTTCGTCAGATTATAAAATACTTATGTTTTTTAAGCGTACTTTAAGCTGTTGTCTGCTGCTTTGATTCTCATAGTTTCCAATCAAGCCCCTTTATTAAGCCCCCTTATCAAATAATAATAATAATACTAATAACTACTATCGCCCTTGTGGTCGAAATTCGGCAGTTGGTTTTTTGTTGGTCACGAAAGTATTTCATCAGTGTGTATTTTTAACAGGTAGCACGCAGATTATATTTAATCGATACCCATTATAATACACGCGCACTCTTAGCCATTAAATATATAATATGTACATATATATTTATATATATGTATGTGTGTATAGATGTATGTATATGTGTGTATATGTAAAGAGGAAATCATTGCTGGTGTGTAATTATTAAAATGAACTTATTACAGTTGATCAATATTATGTCAAGGTATAAACCGATAAGATAAGTAATATACGTGATAAAAAAGATATATAGATGTAAACAATATGGATTAAGTGAACGATAAAAGCAAATACACTTTATTTGTTAGATGAGAACTTTCTAATAAAAAATTAAAGGTCAGTCGGGCAGACTTTGACTGCTGATTAAGTATATATATATATGTATATATGCTTTATGGGATTCAAGATCCTGTCTTATGACTCCCATTTTTATTGAGTTCCACATATATATTACAAATTATGTAAATCCTAAACAATTTCAAGCATTTGTTGTATCAAATTGTATTACAAACCAAATAATAGTCCAAACTAAATTCAATAATTATCAATTCCCTTTCTTTTGTGTCCACACAGACCATTCTCAATCCGAAGAGCTGCTCCAGTGCGGCCAAGTACAGTCTGCACTCGGGATCGGAGAACAATCACGATACGCAGACGCAGACTCAGATGCAGACACAGACACAGACGTCGACGCACTGCTCGACAACGGGCAGGCGACGGAAGGGTGGCTCTTTGGGCGGAACGCTCTCCTCGCGCTCCACGCGCAGCGAGTCGAAGGAGTTGCGCTCCGCTCTGCAGGATCGCGAGGCTGTCATTCAGAATCTGCGCATTCAGCTGTGCTTGGGCAAATTGCCACGCCCCAGTGGACCGCCTCTCGATGAGTCAGAGAAGCCAGCAGCTGAGCATAAGCTGAATCGCCTCAAGGCGGAGGCGGAAAACAAACGCATCAAGATCAAAAACCTGAAGAGCGCTCTCGAAAAATTAGATATCACAGAGTAAGTGGAATTGTTCAGATTGATTGATGAATGGCTAAGAAAGAATATTTAAGAATCGATCTATAACTAAATGTAGAACTTTAATGCAAACAAATAAAAGATACCCTAAAGAATATATATTAAAGTGTATCTATTTGCAACATGCTAACGCTCTATTTCCTTCCTCTGCCCCGTAGTAACATTGATATACGAATTCGTCAGGCGGAACTGGAGTATGCGCTGGGTCGCGAGGAGCTGCAGATGCTATCGATTGTGGAGGAGGCGCGCGCCTTGCAGGCACGCCTGGAGAAATCCAAGCCTGAGGCGCAGACACTCTACAATATAATCAGCTCGGGTGTGGCGCTAAGCTTGCATGCGGTGCATGCAACATCCGGACGTTGGGCGGCCCAGCAGCGAGCGGATCAGCCCGGTTTCTATGTGGAATGGGCACTGGAGGGGGATGGACTGTATAAGGGGGATCGCATACTGGAGATCAATGGACGGCTGGTGACCAGCAAGACCAAAGAGGAGCTGCAGAAGCATGTGGGCAACTCCGGCAAATGTCAGATGGTTGTGCTGCGCAAGAAAACCGTGGCCATACCCCAGAAGCAACTCGACCAGGAGAAGGAGAACAATATGCGACTACAGCATCGCATCTCCTACCTCGAGGAGCAGGTGCATGATCTGCAGAATGTCAAGGAGCAGGAGCAACATCAACAGCAGCAGCATCAGCAGCTGAGGCACCAGCCGCAACAACAGCAGACAACCCAATCGAATAGTGCCCATGTGACCAGCATTAGCATCTCCTCGCCACCCTCACCCTCGCCCACAACGACACCGCCGTCGGACAAGCCGCTCATCTTTCAGCGTGGCAATTATATCACCACTCTGGTGGGTGGCAAACCCATTGAGCTGGTGGGCGATGAGCTGCCGCCGGCACATGTCACCAAGACCCTGATCAAGGAGAACACTCACATTGATCTGCGCGATCGTCTGCCCCATCACTCGCATCTCTATGCCATGCCCTCCAAGTCCCTGTCCGCCTCCAAGATATCCATCAACAGCGACTCCGCCTACATGCAGCAACAGAAGCGCGACAAGGAGCGCCAGCGCGACCGTCACGAGCGCCAACGCGACAGGGAGCGGGAGCGAGAGCGACCCAGAGATGCACTGCAGCAACAGTTGCAGCAGCAGCTGCACAGAGATCATCTAAGGAGCACACATGCACGCAGCGTGGAGCATCTCAACCACTACAATGGGTAAGCAGCAGCAGCAGTCTACAAATAATTAATATTAACTAGAGCTATGGAAAATCGAAAATCAACTTGAAATTTTTTGTTATAAACTTCACTACATAATTGTAAGATAAAATCCAACGGTTTTTAGATCCACTAAAAGTATAGCGATTTTCTAGAATCTAATAAATATATCTGTATATATATAATAAATATATCTAGAATATATAAATATAGTGAATACATATATGTACATATTTACTCACTCGATTCTTGTTCCACCCCCACACAGCTTGGAACGTCGACGGGGCGATGTGTCACGGCAGAGCGAGGCTCAAACTCTGCGCGCTCGGCTGCCGAGCGATGTGCGGAGCGTAAAATCGCTCGACTTTGACAGCGAGAACGAATCGAAGCCGATGACGACAACGACGACGACGACGACATCGATGACGTCTGGGGAATCGCGCACGAATCATGTGAGACCCACACCGCCAAAGAAACCGTTGCGCCTCTCACTGCAACGCGCTCAGAGCCTGCAGACAGTCGAGCTGCATCCGTGCGCCGAACACGATCGGAAGCGGCCCATGAAGCGGATGCATCACAATAGCAGCGCCAGTGGCGGCTCCTCGCCAAGCGATGAGGGTCAGGGCCATGGCCATGGCCATGGCGGATCTGTGGCGCTCATCGAGAACTGCAGTCCGATGCATACGGCCTCGCTGGGGCGCCACAAACTCATCTGAGTTTGAGTTTGATTTGGACTTTTAGCTTACAACTTGGTGGAAACTGCTCTGGCTGACCTGAGTCAGTGAGTTTTCCATCCAACAGACAGGCGGACATGTGCAAAATTGAATAACCTAATTATAACTAATAACTATGATTACAATTGTGAATTTTCTCATACACTTAAAGTTCGACTTAAATATTACAACTTACCAGATATATATATATATATATTTTGCTGTACTCGTAATTAGGGCTTGGCTACCATTTCGGCTTTATTATTATCACAAACTCGAGAGAATTGAAAGATTGTACACAAAATCTATTAGCACCATTTTTTATTTATGTAAATACACGAGTTTTTGTCATTTGAATCTTGGCATGTGTTTTTTTTTTTTAAATTATGGATTGCTTTGATTATTTCATTTTGAAAAATGTGACCAGAGTTTCAAACTAAAACCCGAAAATAACCGATGAAAATGAAAAAGGAGTTTAATCGAATAAATAATGGTACTGCATAACAGTAACTCTATTTTGTATTCAAAGTGTTTGGAACCAAATACCAATAATAATTTTGAAAAAAGCATATTCTTTAGCTATTCTGGTTTGATTTTCCTCCTTAGTATTAGATAATACATTTTGTGGCATATTTACAATAATGGACTGCTTAAAACTATGCCAAAACAATTGAAGTTTACCCAATCTGCATTCCTTTCTGGAGTGTGTTGCTATTTCAATGCCAACAGGCACGATCATTGAGCTCCATTCATGATGCATTTTTACATACGATAAATATTTGTATTAAACTCACGTTGTCGTGTTCAGTGGTCGTTATGGACATAATTAATAAATACTTGTAAGGCTATAAATCTTGGCAAAGCAGAGTTTCTATAAAAACGGTCAGACAAGAGATAACACGGGAGAGACAAGTCTCCAAATCTCATTTACAACAGAAAGAGAGCGAAAGAGAGTATTCAACTGTTAACTGAGAGAAGATGAGCAAGAATGCGCTCAAAAGAGTGGGTGCGTCAAAAGTGGAGAACGTGAGAATAGAGTTTGCTCAGTCAATGCGCACATGTGAGCGGAGAGATTACGATAGAGCACGATCGGTGTTCGTGTCTTGACACCCACGATGGCGTCGTCTGCGCCGACGTCGACGTTGACGCTCCGCAATCTCGAGTTGAAGCACAGGTACGCTGTCAGTCAACTTGCGCGCTGACATTTTAAAACCGAAATCAGTTGCGTCGCAGGTCTCCAAATCAACGATCGCTACGGTGCATTGTACAATTGAAACGGTAAATTCGGTATTGCTGTGAACCCAATTAATTAATAAATACGAATAACGACATCAACAACAAACAGCTGCTGCTAACTAGGTAAGTGCTTGCACGAATCAGGGAATAAGTAAAACTGTTGTTAATTTGTACAGAATTCTTATTTAAGCGCAACTCGAGAATAATGCGCAAAAGAAAATGTTTACAAAACAACAATGATTCGATTTTTAATTGTTTATTGAAACAATTATCAGAACTGGTTTCGCTGTTAAAAATAACATAAAACAAAAACCTTCATTTGTTTCGCCGTACATTGGCCCGTCCTTCAGTGTGTGGGTTACTGTAACCAGTTTATAATTTTATATATATATGCCCCAAAAAATATATAAAGAACGAACAAGAAATAAAGCAAAACTGCAGTTTTCAGTTTCTTTAACGCTGCATCTGCGCTTTAGCTCCAGTTTCTCTTGGTACCCAAATTCGAAGAAGACAAATGTTTACAATTTGGAATGCAACCCAGTAGACAATTTATGTACTGTTCTTATCTAACATCACTCTGAATGCTTGTTGCGTTAAAATATCATTAAACTAGCATCGTTTTATTGTGTGCTAATTAGCGTTTGACTGTAAAGCACATCTATTGTATTATCTTCAAAGAAACAAATGACTAAGCAGAAATTTATTATGCGAATAAGCATCTGTGAAGTTCAGGGTCAGCTGAAATACTTATATAAATATATAAATATATATATAACTACACAAATTGTCCATTACTGTTGAGAAACGAAAAAACTGAAGAAAACATTTTATGCATACAATTTATAATTTCTGAAACTATATTTACTGGTATAAAAAAAAAGTTGAAGCACTTCAAGTTGATTTGGGTTACCAGGGTGATTAGAGCTACAGTAGTTACTGACTAATGACACCAATCAGTATAACTAAAGGCTGTAAGCAAGCAAATTGTTCATTATTTGTTCATCAATCAACGTTGACGTATTTGTAATAGTAACTCAAACCCATCTATAATCATACAACAACATATTTAATAGCAGCAACAATTGCTTTAGTGCTGGCAACATGGCACTTAATTAAATATATACTTTGAGCACCTTGGCTCAACACAAGAACAAAAGCAATAATACTTATCTTATCCATGAGAAGACTGATTTGCGAGCCAGTTTGAAGAAGTAACTTTGGAACACATCATCGTGCAACAACTTAATGTAGCAAGTCGTTGACACTTTAGTCCGTAGCAGCTTGATGATAAGCATTAAAGAAAACAACATTACTTTGAGCGTCTAGTACATAAATAAATACAAATGTATTTCTGAAAGTTAAGGATCACTCGTAAATTTCAGCTCAAAAGTGCGTACAAAAAATAGATTGTTGCTTGGCCTTCATCGTAACCGGCAGCAAAAATAACAACAACTTGTTGTTACTTGTTGGCCATCCGCACTTAACCCTGTCGGAAAAAGGCTGTTTTAATTTACTTATGTATAGAATGTACATATGAAATATGTATATTAACCACTTATATAATATTTAAGCAATGTGCATGACCCACAAATCGCTTCGTCAATTAAGGTTAGGCGCTTCAATTCCGCACACACGCCAAGGCAGCTAAGTAAATAAATATACACTTTAAACAGCTGATTTCACTTTAACAGGGATGAGCAAGCTTAAACATTAAAATAATACTTTTAGTTACTTAATATAGCTGAAAAAACTACACAAATCAGTGAGTGATTAAATACACATTAAACAAATATAACATTTAAAATATAATTGGCAAAAATAAAAATAAAATTACAAAATAATTGATTGATAATTATGATGTAAATTGATTTGGGAATCATAATAAAATTAAATAACAATTTAAAAAGAAATTTCTGATACTAATTATATCACTGAATCATTTTACAAGCCAGATTGGGCAATATTTTACTCAAGTAATGTCAGTTATTTAAAACATGGATCATCTCTGATGGATGGGTTTGATACGGATGAGAAGAGAGTAATGAAAGTCTCTCTCTATCGCTCTCTCTCTCTCTCTCTCTCTTCCTCTGTCTAACTCTCTCTCTCTCTAGATGAAGGTAGCCGAAACGGCGTCAGAGGCTACCTCTAACGTAACCGTCTGGCAAATAGAAAATCAGCATGGTGCGAATAAATTCTATATATAGGATTATATACACACATATGTACATATATACATAGAGATGAATATAGTGGGATTTGCGTGTTGTTCCATCAGTTTATGCTAAATTTATCACTCGTCTTTCAATTGCAGTTGAAAATGATGCGAGTTGTAATCATCAGCCTGGCCCTCTGTGCCACACTCACGAATGCAGGACAAACTGTAAGTAATTAACAATATAATAATTATTACAATATTCGTTAAATATTCAATTGTAATTCGCTGTAGCGCAACTCACCCATGGAGGCGATTGCGTATGTGACTGGACCGATGCAGGCGGATAATAGGCAGGTGAAGGGCAACGTGACCTTCACCCAGAACGATTGTGGCCAGAGTGTGCATGTGCGCATCCAGCTGGAGGGTGTCAAGGAGGGCAAGCATGGCTTCCACATTCACGAGAAGGGTGACCTGAGCAATGGCTGTGCCAGCTTGGGCGCTCACTATAATCCCGACAAGGTCGATCATGGCGCTCCCCATCACGAGGTACGGCACGTCGGTGATCTGGGCAACATTGAGGTGGGTCCCAGCGGTACCATCGACGTCACCTACACGGATGCCGTGATCAGTCTAAGCGGCAAGCGTACAATCATCGGACGCGGTGTTGTCGTCCACGAAATGGAGGATGATCTCGGACTGGGCAATCACACGGACTCCAAGAAGACCGGCAATGCTGGCGGCCGCATCGGTAAGCCTCACACAAAACAACTTTATTTAAACCCATTTTAAATAATAATCACACAAATGTTTCTTCTTCTTCTTTTATTTTTCTTTCAGGTTGCGGTGTTATTGGCATTAAGTAAATATCAGAGTAATACTTTTAAAACGAATCGAATCAATGTTCTTGTCTCTAATTTAACAAAGCTTCTCTTTCACTTGTGTCAGCTTAAAATAAAATTTGTTTTCTTAACGCTCGTTAAATATAACTGTAACTACAACTGTAACTGCAACTGCAATTGTAACTGTAACTGTAACCCTTTCACCATATTTGTAATACATTCAGCGTGTCTTTTCTATGAAATATGACTGGACTATTTCCGGCTTTCTCCCTAACTGTATCTGTGTGTGTGTGTGTGTGTGTGTGCAACATATATATGTACAACATATCTATATACTATATATACTACCATCCCAAAGTAACATGTATTTTCCAGCCAGTCATTAATATTATTGTCGGCCTACACAAACATCTAAACGTCTATTGATAAGTTTTTGGCTTAAAGGGTAGGTAGGTAATAAGGGTATTTTTACACATACAGTTGAACTTCGCTAACTTGAACTACCCACACTAATGAAAGTTTATTAAAAACGTGTAAAAAAAAGTTGAAATTGTGTAAAATTATGTAGCAAACTGAATGAAGCTTTTCCGATCCCATAAAGTATATATATTCTTGATCAGCACTAACAACTCATTTCATTTCATTATATTTACATATATATAATATATATATTCATAATATCTGTTTTTTGGGAATAACTCATAGTCGAATTCTGCTCGATTTTATTTCCAATTATGAAATATGTGATTATAAATGTGAGCTTATTTTTCGACTGATTTTTAATATGATTTATGGAGTGAGTGACGTAATAACAATTATGATAATATTGTAATATTTGCGGCAAGTGTCATATAGATTGTAACACTCTTCTGTTGTGCAGTGTTTGACTTAGCGATGATTAACTGTATTCATACTAATGTCATTAGCAGCGGACTCAGCTGTAATAACATGCATGCTAATGAATAGCCAATCTAATTCGATTAATTGTGTTTGCTTAACCTGTGTTGAACTAACTGTGCTTTCCACCCACACACCCGCAAAACCAAATCCACACACATATCGCACTGAATGCCACATCAACAAAACATACAAAATGTGCCTCCTTTTGTCGGGGCAACTGCTTTTTGTTTTTGCAGCTCGCCTGCCACACACGAACAGCCAACAATAGAACAGCAACCAATACAACAATGGGAACAGCCCGAACAACTCCAGCATCAGCACCAATATCAGCATCAGCATCAACATCAACTTGAAGCATCTGCATTGCACACAAACAGTCGCCAATCAGTCGTCAATCAGCCCACATTTTATGTGCCGCACGATCAGCCTCACGATCATGTTGTATATCCACTACTGCGTCATCCATATCCATCATATCCATATCCGTATTATCTATAAAGTGTGTGTTTGTTTGTTGTCTCTTGTGTTATCGTCCCTATGAACCTCCCCAAATACAGCATTTGGCCCGAACTTTTTGGCTAACTGTAATAACTTTACTTATAGGTCGGATGTGGATGATTGGCCCTGTCTGCGGGACGGTGCCGGAACCCTGCACCAATCCCTATCCATACTGATGTTCGTTGTTGGTGTGCTCATTGTCAGGGACAGCATGTGATCGCTGATCGCCGATCAGTGACCAAGTATTATTATAATCTTATGTCATTCATACAGTACTTAATTAATTAACAACAAACAAAACAACAACCAAAAAAAAATACTCTCACACTCTGCTTGTAAATTTGCCTGAAATGTTCATTAACAATAAAATCGAAATTCCTTTTATATATGCCATATATATATATATATATATATGATTTCTAAATGCCTAATCCGCGAAATTCACTACACATTTCTTGGGTAAACTGCCATACTGACCCATAAAATCCAAGTTGAGATTTCTGCGATACGATAGCGATTTCTAGGTGCTAAAACTGAGCCTAACCAAAATTGCTAAGCACACACACCAACACACACAGTTGGACACATTTTGTGTCTTGAACACGCAACATTGAAATCAACTCAAACTTAAACAAAATTACTGACGATTTACCGCCCCTTTTAGGAAGGCGCCTTGGCATGCTTCGGTAGGTGCCAAGTTGAATTTCAAGCGCAAAAGAGTTCCCGGAGTTCTTTAATTATTCGCACAGTCTGGCATTTATTTCATGAATAGCATTTATAACTTTTGCCCGAGTTATTCAAATGAAAGCACGCAATTTATTTGGCCCAATGACATCCCGAGTGGGCTCACACTGCCCGCTGGTTAAATTACCACTTCGTAATTAACTCATTTATTATATGTTGGACTTGAAACAAGTTATGCTCTTGAATTTGTCACAATTTCACATCTGGAATTGAGCATTTTTCATTACTATTACTCACTTTTCACAGCTCTTTTTTTTATTCCGATTTTGTATTAGTAGTGGGTAAGTATTTGTTGATTTGTGTGCTTTACGCTTATCATAAATTTTTAATGTCTTAAATACACACAACAAAGTTTATTTATTTATTTATTTATTACATGTTCTTGCAATGTAAATGTAAAAGTGATTCAAGCAGCAGCAAAATATATAATTCAGCAAAAATATATCAATTTCTTGCAGAATAAATAAAAACAATGCTTTTCTTTTCTAGTCTTAAGACTAACAAAACTTCTTAGAAGTAAATTAAATAAATAAATAAATCCATAAATTTCTTTATATTAACTTGCTTAACTTGCGTTGCTAGTTACTAGTCTACACTGGGAAAAATCAGTTTTAGCAATCAAATAAAAAATATATATTAAAACTCTATCAACTCTTTAAACATTTGCTAATATCATTAAATAATTCATAGATGAGGTATATGTTCTATGACCACTTTCCAAATATCTTCTTTAAATAGATTTTAGAGTCGAGAGCATTAACAATGTATTGAGCGACCCTCGTAAGTAGTTCTAGGTGACAAGCAGCTGAACTTTAAATGTAAATATGCACTTGTGTACTTTATTGTGCTCGCTCACACTTCGAGCGAGTTTGAGAGTTGGCCTAATGAGTGCATTGACTTGTTGCCCCTTTTGCCACTCCTTCGATGTGCTTCTTTCTCTACTTCTTCTTCGTCTTCTTCTTCGAACTGAGCGGAAGCCGCAGACGACCCAGAAAGCAAGCGTTAGTTTTGGTTAGCTTCACGTCTGGGAACTTTGCGCAGCCGCTGGTCAAAGTTGGAGGAGACCTCAAACTGCCTGTGGCTGCCCCAACACGCAGTTTGTAAATTCAACAGAAATGGGTTACGAAAAGCATAAAAGCCCGGGCGAGAGGGACGGGGCTGGGAGCCGAGTAGCTAGTAGCTGGTAGCTGAGTTGGTGGGAGCTGGCTTTGCCACCCGATTCTATCGACCACAGACCCTAATCGCATGGCCTGAATAGGCCAACTCGGTTCTTTCCTCGAAAATCGCACTTTCACTCACTTTTACTTTGTGTGGCATGCTCGTTGTTGCCGCCTATTGTTGTGACCAACAGAAGAAAATAGGCGGCTTGGGTCCGGGAGTCGAACGGGCATTTCCCGTTGGTGGTTGTCAGCCTCGGTGTGTTGTGGCCACAACACAAAAGCCGACTTGGTTGCCAACATTTATTAGCTTGGCCAGCACCAGTTCACAGCTAACGGTCAGTTACAATTCCAACGCCATTTTGTCAAGACGCGTTCGCGCTTCCCAAACGATCCGTGTAACCCAATAAAATCCCAGCATACTTATCAGCATTGCCCATCAAATTGTAGCCAAGTTCTATTTTTGGGTTAATACGTGACAGCATTTGAAAGTGGTTTATATTTGTCGCATTTGGGTCAGTTTTCAATTATTAAATGCGAATCAAAATGAGGTCCTGCGGCCCCAGTTTAATAAAATACGTCTTATTTGCCTTCAATGTTCTATTTGCGGTAAGTTATGACTCAACCCATCAACTAATTAATCATCTATCTGTGGATGGGGGGCTTCAAATAATATCCGAGTCGCAGGCTTAGTTTAATACAAATCACATTTAATTCTGTGAGTAAATTTTCATTTCATCAGAATTCTAGAACCGAACCCAATAAATTTTAATTTCATCAGAATTCTAGAACCGAACCCAATCGTGCATTAGTCATTAGTCAGCATCGTTTTGCCAATTATTTGATTTATATATTATTTTTGTAATTTATTTTATTATCTCAACTCTAAAATTCAATTTTTTCTTTACTAAAAATTGGGGTTTTATCTTGAAATATAATTATATTTTATTCCATGTTCGTCATTATTCAATTTAAGAATATTTTTATTTATCTCTAGTTTCCCCTTTGCATAGCGAAACATTTATTTAGGTTTATAATAATAATGATAATTGACAGATTGCTTCTATGTGAGCAATATTATATAGAAGTCCGATATTGTAGATTTTTTTGTCAAACTGTTAATACAATAATGAAATGAATCATAAAAGATGAGTTTGGTTGGGTTAGCTTGGTAAACAAAAAAGTTTTCATACAAGATATATATATTTCCTCTGAAAGATATGTGGATACAGTGATCAGATCCAGCCGGATCCAATATGTGTACTGCTTGCAGCATAAAGACGGATATTTATTATTATTATATGTTTTAAAAACTTTAATTCTAATATTATTTTAGTGTCATTTCAACAATAGAAAATTATAGAAATGACTATAAAAACTCGCCAGAGTTTTCAATTCCGATCTGATACTTCACACTCTAACCAGTTATACAGAATATAAACAACTGAAAACAATTGTAAAATAAATATTTACAGTTTATTCACAGTACAGACTCGAATTAACTAATTTAGATGTTAACTGATTGCCAAAGACATGTTCAGTGTGACATTGAATGCAATTGCGTGCTGCAAGCCAAGCTGAACTCGCATGCCAGTTGTGGCAATAATTTAACTGCATGCAATTAGTTGCTCTTTAAAATTGATTACACAAGATTGCAGATGACAGGCCGTCAAATGGATTATACTGATAGTGATTAGTTGGCAATTTGCATTTGCAATTGTGCACTCAAAACTGGGCAGCACAACTTTCAATGCCAACACGAGGCTATGTGTCCTTAAAAATGACGACATGGTAATGCCAATGACCATTGGCCAATGTCCTGTTGTGTAGTTGTTGTTGTGATTGTGGTTGTGGCTGTGGTTGATGCCTTATCGGGCAATTAGAGTTGGTTGGGCAAACGTAAACACGAATACCAAATGAGGCATACGACTAAAAATGCGTGGGTTTTTTTTGTTGTTGTTTTCTAGTTTTCTAGATTTCGATTGGGGTCTGTGGTCATTAAGCAAATTGTGTTATGGATTGAGTTGTGGGGCCTTTAAATGCGTTTCTAGTTTTCAGAAAATCGATGTTTGTTTTTATTGTTTTTATTGTATTTATTTATTGCTTGCAGCTTTCGGGTCTCGGCATTTTGATCGCCGGCTCCGTCGTCCTAGCCGATGTCAGTGAGTTCAATCATTTTGTGGAGGGACGCGTTTTGGCGCCACCAATTGTCCTGATTGTCACCGGACTGATCATCTTTCTGATTGCATCTCTCGGCTGCTTTGGAGCCATCAAGGAGTCACCCACGCTGCTTCTGACGGTTTGTACTCCTTCGTTATCCTTGCACTTAAACCAATTCATGGCTTAATCAATCAACAGTATGCCGTGTTGCTGGCCATCATATTCATCATTGAGCTGGCCGTGGGCATTGCGGCGAGCGTGTTCAAGAAGGATCTGGAGAGCATGATCAAGAACTCGCTGCAGGAGTCGATCAAGCGCTCCAACAGCGAGGACACCATCGCCTGGGACAATGTTCAGCGCAAGCTGATGTGCTGTGGCGTCGATACTCCGGCCGATTGGCGCGCCCTCAGCTTGAACAAGACGCTGCCGGCCAGTTGCTGCCAGCCGCAGTTTATCGATACGGCCGTTGGGCATTGCACAGAATCTCCGGCTCTTGGCAAGGATAAGTACTACCAGGAGGGGTGTGTGGGCAAGCTGAAGGATCGCATCGATAAGAATGCCGTTATTCTGATTGGTGTTGGCATCGGCATCGCATTCATCCAGATCCTGGGCATCATACTCGCCTGCTACCTGGCCTCGGCCATCAGGCACGCCCGCCAGGCCAACTAATCGAACAACGAGAATCCCTCACAATTTAATCTTATCTTAAACATAATCTTTATTATTGATCTCATGTCAGTCCGTCAACAGACATACATACGCTACATGAGCCTATTTAATTCACTAGCTAATTTTATGAGTCACAGCCAGAACTTGAATCGAAAGCTAAGCGAGGGTTGCTCAAAAGTAAGCTGGAAAGGAATCTATTGTGAGAAGTGAAAAGTCTAGCTTATGTTGAATTCAATTTAATCTACTTATGGCAAAGGAACTTCTATAAGATAACTTATAATATATTTATATATATCGAAAAACAGTTTGCATTTCACTTTTTAGTATAATTTGTCTTGAACATAAAAAGTCTTACTGAGAGTATAAATACAGAACTTACCTTTAAAAACCTTATGAAGAAGTATAATTTATTTTTCAATTGCCTGGTAATTTTTCAAAATTCTGATTATACTTTCTAATAATATCAGATAAACTTTACACATTTTACGTTCACTTTAGAAACTATCCGTAAAAATAAGATAAAATGCAATTAAAATGAAATGGAAGAGTTATCGAATAGATAATTTGAGCAACCCTCGCACTAAAAAACGCAACAAATCATAAAAATTGACAAATCAATGGAAAGTTTATTGACTTTCATTCAAGTATATATCAGCTATTTTCAACAGTAATTTACCAGCTCAACTTGACCTGTTCCTCCCACTCCGAAAGATGCTCCAGTTTATATATATATATATATATAAATATATAAATGTTACCTATTGCTTTGTATGCATTGAAAAATAAATAAAATGAAATTGCTCCAAAGAATTTGAGTTTTGTGTCTACAATTTATTTGTTCTCAGCTAGTTTCAGTTGCGATTGGCCAGCACAACGTCCTTAAGCGTTAAGATACTTGCCACAACTACCAAATACAACTACCAACTACAGGATACAACTAGGATGCGTTGCGACGTTGTGCCTCAGCAGGGTGACCGTTAACAAGTGCTCTCTACTACGACTACAGCTGAAGATGCTGCTGCAGTGTCGGATATCTTTTGAATGGGGGCAAATGCATAATTTGGTCCACTTCCACACGGCTTTCCCACCTCCCACCTCCCATCTGCCACCTGCCCCTCATCACTCTCGCTGCAGCAAGGACTCGGAGAGGCGTTCAATGGCCGTCGATGGCGTTTTCTTAGCATCCTTCTCAGTGAGCGCCGCGGCTGCCTCCGCCTCAGCATCGGCGGCTTCCTGCACCTTGGCCTCCTCGTGCTCGCGCTGCTTTTGAAAGTGCCGGAATTCCGTGGGTGTCAACATGCCACGCAGCACGGTATCGTAACTAACACTGACACCCTTGGCGCACATCTTCTGATGCAGTTTCCAGCACTCCCGCTCCTTGATGCTGCACACATACAACGGGAAATTGTAATCCTGCTGCTGCTGCTGCTCCTCTTGCTGCTGCTGCTGTTGCTGCTGTTGTTGCTGTTGTTGCACATTGCAGTTGGACGAATTATTCTCCTTCTTGGCCTCCTCTGTGGGTGAGCCGGGCGCCTCTGTCTGCTGGCGGGCATCCATTTGATTGCTCGACTTGCTGCCCGGCTCGCTGAGAAATATGGAAACGGGTGGCGCCGTCGGCGGACGATTTGCTCGAATTCGCGCTGCCAGCGGCGCAATCGATCCGCGGCGTATCATGTGCGAGTACTCCTTGGAGGCCAGTTGGAAGGTGGGCGGATAGCTGTCTTGAAACGAGACTGCAAAACAAGTTAGTCCATCTGATGGCAAAAGTTTATGCATCTATATTTATATAATGAACCCATTAGAAATAAGCCTATTCAAGTTGCGCCCATTCCAGGCAGAATAGAAAGCATATATATTCTTTATCAGGATCAACAGATTAAGCCAGGTCCAACTGTCTATATTATTAAACCCTATCAGCTGAATAATTCAAATTCATAGTCGAGTCAATTAGTCATGTCCCTTGTCCGTCTGCCCATCGGGTATACCAGACGCAGATAAAGTTTTCTTTATCATTTTATCGATAACCTGCTCCGTTTCACAAATATCCATTCAAATCGATTACCGATAGTAATTAAATTAAAACCATGACTATATTTATATATAAATATATAGTCGTAACAGTAAATGGTATAGTCGTAAATAAATATGAAAAAACGAATTTTTACAGGTACTAAAATATCTTTCTCGACTCTCGATTTTTACTTGTTTTAAGTATGTGTCAAGCTTAGCTATTCTCTAACTGTAAGTCAGAGACTATAAGATATTCTTTTGAATGTAAATACCCGTTTACCATTATTGATTTTAATGCTATATTTCTTTAAATGTATTATCTATCGATTTATATCGATATTCTGCAATCGGGTGCAGTTATCGATAAAACAAAAAAACTTTATCTATTTAAGGTATGCGAGTATTATTTCATTAGTGAACTGTAATCAAAACTAATATCAACTAGTCTGATATACATATTTATTTATAAGCTGGTTCTACGGTATCTCATAGTCGAGTGAGCTCGATTAGTGCCTTGCTTAGCTAGCTCTCTCTACCATCTCTCCAGTCTAAAGTAGAGTAGAGACTCCAAATCTGAAACCTGAATCGGTTTTCTGTAGCATTTCTGATATTGAACTTACCCGATTTGCCCGTTTTGCGCAGCAGTGGCGCCCTTCGCTGCGGACTGCGCTGCGATGTGGTTGAGGAATGCAGCTGCTTCTTCTCGTTGCCCGTGGGCGTGGAATGGGCGGAGGAGGAGTTCTCCTCGCGCTCCGAATCGCTGCCCTCGGAGCTCAGCAGCGAGACGAGCGTAATCACATCCGGTGCAATGACGCTCCGAGCACGACTCAATGACTTCTTGTTGCTGCTGTTGTTGTTGTTGGAGCCGCTGGCATCGGCGCCTAGCAGTGGACTACCATCGACCGGCACCGCCACCGAGGAGGTGGCACGTGTGAAGATCTTGCGACGCCGCAACTTCTGCTGCTGGCTGCGCTTGCCGGCAGCAAGGCTGGCCAGGACACCGCTCTTGCTGTTCTCGTCCAGGCGCACCGGAGCGGACATAGCACGCACCAAAGGCGGTCGCCGCTGCACCGTCAAAGCGCACGAAACGTTCTCCTCGACCAGACTTGGACTGAGACTTGCTGTTGCAATTGCAGCCGGATTGCAGTTGGCCCTTGCAGCTGCTGCTGTTGTTGGCGGTTCCTTGCAGAGCTCACTGGTCTCGTCGAGATCACTGTGTAGCGGCTCCTGCTCGTTGGTGGCGCGTATTGTTTGGGCCAGCACAATATTCAGATTGATGCGATTCTTGGCACTGTGGAAATATAATATACAAATGAGAGTAACTCAAACCTGTCTGTCTAACTGTCTAACTGTCTAACTGACTGACTGTCTGTCTGTCTGTCTAAGCTGGCCGAGTGACCTACTCGGCGGGGCACGTCTAAATTTAAATCAAATTATTTGGCATTAGTTTGGATGCAATTTATGCTGTGCTCGATTTCTCAAATACAAATTGGCCGCATGCAACATGCAGCGACCCCAAAAATAGAAATTAATTCGTGCAAATGCGAAGGCGGCAACGCCAACATCAACCAACTTCCCATATCCAATACACTCCCCTGCCCCTCCCCCTCTCCTTGCTGTACTCCACTCGACTCCAATCTGGCAGTGCTTGGCGAGTTTTGAAAAATGAAACCATGTCAATTACATTTGTACAAATTCGCGCCCGAAAATAAAATAAATGTGTTGGTTTTGCTGCTTCAGGTGCTTCAGCGCGAAAGTGAATCTTTTGCCAACACTGGCCAAAGTTCAATGAACTGCATTTGCAACTGGAGTGCAGCTACACTTTAAAAAAATATATAGTACATCTATTGTTCAAAGCAGAAAATCCAAAATCTAAAGCGTATTCCGTATAAATTACAATAACAGAAAAGTAGAAAAGTTAACAAATATATTTGTCTATATTTGTCTATATCTATATAGCTATCAAACAAGATATTTATAGCACAAAAATGAATATTTAAGCCTTTTTCAGCTGAACTTAACATTTTCTAATCAAGTTGAACTGGGAATCTGCAAGAATGAAACTTGATATTTAAAATCAAACTTGACAAATCCATGTCTATTTGTGTTTTGCATTTGGCAAGCACGTTTTTCTGCGAGTGTATCCTTATCTAGTCCGTCCGTGTCTGCAGTCCGTGCTCGTATTATGATCGACTTAACTGTGTCGCGACGTGGGCACAACCTGAGCGACTTGGTAAGGTGTCCCGCCCCGGGACTCGACTAGACGAATGGATGGATCCCACTATTACCCCCTGCACCCACTCAAACTCCGGGCCGTGTACGGGTGTCTTGCCTGCGCCTAATCGTATGCAATTCACATATAAAAAGAAAAAACTGTGAAAAACTTTGACGTCGGTGTCAAGCATGCAAATTGCGCAAAGTATCAAAAGTGTCATTTGGGCATATTTTTAGAGCGGTGTACGAGTATGTGGCAGGGTGGCAGTGGGTGTGGCACTGTTTGACAAATGGTAATATTAGAACCCGATTTAGCTCATTCTTACACGAATATATAGATATATATGTATATATGCAGATATGCAAATGAAGAAATACGCATTTCGAGCTGCAAATATGACAAGGTCAAAAGAAATATTGATATTTGTTATATTATCATATACTAAACAAGAATATATATATTCTATATATATATATATATTCTGTACATATGTACACCCCACTTCAACAATTTGTCATTGATTATTTCTGCAATTTTCTTCTATTTAAAGTCGTTTATCAATTTTGAGCACTCTCAGAAAGTCAGCGCTATTTGGAGCTATTTTAGTCAAGTATATATATATATATATATCTAATCTTAATAAGAAACAAACTCTGGCACAATTCAATTAAGTCTCGCGTTGTTGACTGTTTTTCAAAACACAAACACAATTTTCGAAAAACATTTGTTAATTACTGTTATCCAACTTAAAGACAATTACGTTTCAATTTAAGTTTTGTACTTGGAAATTAATTGCTTTTGTTGTTTTGCGAAGATATTCGAAGAGACAATTCTTATCTAAGAATTATGTACATATCTATCTATATCTTAGCTTAGCTGTGTATCTTTTATCTTATCTCAGCGACTTTTAGTCAACATTTTGTCATCATCAATTGTAGGCCTTAAATTGTAGTTGCAACTAAATTTCAAGTTGGGATTCGATAAAATAATACTTTTCATATGCCGATTTTAAGGCTAGCATTTTGATTTATGTTCCGATTTAAAATCACGTTTTAAACTTGAAATATACGATTGATCTGCAGGCCAAACTATGATCAAAATTATCCTGCTTTTGGAAATGCATTGAGTTTTGAGGAAGTTATAGCTTTGGGAAGCTTCGATCTATGCCCATTTGCCGATTATCAGGTTCGAATTTTTACTTATGTTCCGATCTCAAATCTTATCGTGATTTTAGAGAAAACAGAAAGAAACGCTTATCTTTGACTTGCCAAAGAATACATATTATTATAGACCACAATCTGAATTTTAACCTGGAATTGTTTTTTCAGTTTATTCTATTTTTTAAATATTTGTTTCCAAAGTTGTATTTTGAATTCGTTTATTTTCAATATCTTATATTACTCAGAGACGTATCCTTCGTTGACAACGTGATATCAAAATTATAACATCCTCTATAAATGTGAAATAAGTTTCCCATTTTGAGAATTAAGTTAATTTAAGTATTGAATTCAGCATATTTTTTTGTATAAATCTTCATTAAATATTAAATGCAGTTTGATTGATTTCAAATTAAAAATATTTGCTTTATTTTTATTTGGAACTCACTTGTCTGTTTCCGTTTGATCTGGTTTCTGGTCATCCGGCAGCCACTGATGCTGCTGCTGCTGCTGCTGCTGCTGCTGCTGTGGCATACCAGCTCTTTGCAGCGAGGTTGTGGATGACCAGGCGACCAGACTCTTCTCCCTCAAGCGTACGCCCAGCTCCTGTGTGGCCTCTGTGGTTGCCAGCCGGCCGGCAAGTCTTGTCGTTGTGGACTCCCCCAGGGCCAAGGATGTCTGGCGACTCAGGCTGCCCACGATGGGCGCTGGCGATGCATACAGCTTCTGGCGTATACTCTCTATGGAACGGCCAACGGAGAGACCACGCGAGAGGTAACCACGCTGCTGGGCCGTGTATCTGGCCACGTTGCAGTGGGCGTGGCTGGATGCCGACTCAATCAGAGAGTGTTGTTTGCGTATTGCTGATGTTGTTGCCGATATTATAGTTGGTGTTGTTGCTGTCGTTGTTGTTTTGTTGTCGCCGGCGTCGTCTTGTAGCGACGGCGACTCGTCAATGACAACGACATGGCCAGAAGTGCTTATGTTAACTTGGCCCGTTTGATTAGCGTTGGCGCCGCTGACTGAAAGCCAACTGCAACTCACAATCTATAACTCAACTGCTGTCGATTCGAATGCAAATCAATTACGCGGCCATTAAAGCCACCCCTCCAAAAAAAATAAATATAAAAGCAATAACTTTGTCAACAAAAGAGGGCCGCAACCAACCCACCCCCCCTCCCAGCCAGTCAGAATTAAAATCGAAACTGAAACCAAACCAACAGCCAAAAAACCGGCAAAAGTCACGAACCAAAAAGAAAACAACAAAAACAAAAACAAACACAACAAAAATGGCAACAAAACTGCTGCCACTTGAGTCAAGCGCAACTTTCACTAATTTTGGCAACTGTTTATGGCCAGGTGCGGCGACTCTGTTTGTCGTTCTCTTCGTCGTCCTGGTTCTCTCTCTCTCTCACTCTCTCACTCTCTCCCTCTCTCACTCTGTCGGGGACTACCCACGTCCACTTTGTTTGCCTGCCGCGCGATAACTGCTAACTGCTTTTGTGAATGAAGAATGAAAGGCTTCAGCAGCAGCAGCAGCAGCAGCAGCAGCAGCAGGAGCAGCTTCGCTTTATGTTGACAACATAACGTTGCCAACGACTCTGCACACCCGCGCAGACCTGCCACACTCTGCTCCCCGCTCCCTGCCACCCTTGCCATCTGTGCCACCTGTGCCAGCTCTACAACTGTCCTTAGACGGTGCCATCGCCACCGTTGTTGCAACAGCGACTTTTATGCTCTCTGCTCGGCATTCGCTTCGGCTTCGCCGTCGACTTCGACTTCCACTTTGACTTGGACTCCTACTGAGTTTGTTTGTCCCATTTCCGCCGGCTCACACACGTGTGTCGCAACAGCGAGGGTTAATCGATGAGTTAAGCAACAGCAAAGCCACTAAAAATGTGTTACAGGCAGCGGAAAACACTGCTCCAATCCCCTAAAGAATCAGTTCCAATCCCTTATATATATATATATATACTCGTATATATATTCATAAGCAGCCGAGTCGACTCAGAGATTATAAGAACTACAAACATTCAATTTGGAATAAAAAAAACTTGTATATTCCTCGTAGCACAAGTCTTAACTTAATCTATACTAAATACTATATTAAAGTTATATAATAATAACAATATTGAAGGCCAAGCCTACCCATTTATATATAATGATTGATCATATTTCATATAGCTGAAAAAATTCTAGCAAGAAATATGAGTTCTTGTATGAAAAACATTTTTGATTACCAAGATTTACTAACCAAACTTCCACTTTCAATTATAAAGCAACTACAAAAAACATGTATTTTTATTAATATATCCCAATCAAATTCACTAACTATGCGTGTTCTAATGTTGCCCATATACAGGCATATAAACATCGACATCGGACAACTATATGTATATAGATTAAGAGTGAAATTTAGCTGTCGACAATTTGACTTCATTTGATTCCAGTCTAAAGATTGAAATTGTTGAAGGAGCCCTCGTAAGTAGGCTAGGTAAGTTGGCTGATTGGCTGACTGGCAACTTTTTTGGCCAAACTCAATGAACTCGCACGAACTTTTGTTTTCATTTCGACGCCCGCCCAACAAACACACACACACACGCCCCCTTCGAATGTAATCAAATGTCCTGGCGACAACAGCTGGAGAGTGAGCAAGAGAGGGGGGAGAGGAGAATGATGACAATTTAGTTATTTAGCTATAAGAAATCCATAAGCAAATCCCAATCGAATGAATGAATGAATGAATAAATGCGAGTTGACTCGACTCGAGTAGAGTTGGATGAGTGCGTGAAGTCAACTTCTCGTACAAGTCGCCCAATGTCAGCGCGAATGTTAGATGCAAATTTCATAAATAGAGCCAGATGGATAGAGAGACAGATAGAGAGACAGATAGAGAGACAGATAGAGAGAGAGGGGGAAAGAGTGAGCTAGTTGATTGGGATTGTGGGAGTAGTACGAGTATCTGATGGCAAGTGAAAAACTTTCACATTTGTGACAATTTCAAATTCATCAAAGACATGCAAAGTTGTAGAAAAAGTTTTTCGTGCGCGTTGGCAATCAAAAAGTAACGAACATAACTGCCCTAGCCTAGGCACCCAAATGGAATACCACCAATAATAATAAAAAAATATAAAAAAAATAAAAAACAACAAACAAAGGAAACGAATAGCAACAACAACAACAATACAACAGCAAATGGCATCAAGAACCAAATCAAGCCGATTTCAGGGTCACATGCCACACATATATGTATATACACCCATATACTATGAGTACCCGTGAATATATATCCAATTGAATATAATATACACTCAAATATTTAGATATTCCACACTCGACAAAAGAAATGGAAACAAAATTCTAATGCTAAATCTAAAATTATGTGTCAAATTCAAACTAAAATTTTATATCTAAAATCAAGAATTAATTGATGGAAGACAATCAATTTACAAAGTTTTCATTCTAGAAAAAAACGAATAATAATTTATAAACAGTTTAATCATTTTCAGAAATAAACAAACATTAATTTCACTTAACATCCATTACAAATAATATATAATAAATATATAGACTAAGATTTATTTAAGTAAAAAGATTAAATAAATTGGCGTAAACAGAAAAAGAATTAAGTAAATAATTCCAAGAAACCATTTGTATTTCAAATATAAACAACAGCTTTTATAGAATGTCGCATTTATTGAAGATCACCTGATTTTTCCAAGTGTACTTTTATAGTGTATCAATGCCAAAAATCATTGCGAGTACTTAAAACAAAGCAATTGAATCCCAAACGAAGGAGCATTAATCATTTCAAGTCGATATTTATTGGATGGGTGGCAGAGTTAGCTATTTGCGACACCTCACACCCCTCTTTCTCTCTCTCTCTCTCTCTCTTTCTCTCTATCTATCTATCTCTCTCCCACTCTCTCTTTCTCATTTGTTGGCATTTTGCAATCTCGAGTCAATTATATTAGAAATGAGCTAAGCAAAGCGCCAAATAAATTCATATTTGTCAGGCGGTGTCAAAATGCCAAGCGGTACCAACAGGCACCACTTTCACCCACCACACATTTGACGAGATCCAAAACTATTTCAATTAACTCGACTCAAATTTCAGGCATTGTGATGTGCACAGCAACGAGATACCCTGCAAATTTGAGCGCTAGCAAGCATTTAAATCAACAAAACATGTTAAATATAATATATTATGGTAAAATCCGCTGGGAAAGTGTTAGTAGCCTAATTTGATAAGATTGAAATTCGTCTCAGCTTTCAAAACTTTATTTGAATTTAACGGTATGAAAAATTCTTGGAAAATCTGCAGCATTAAGTGAAAAGTGCAAAGACAAAACATTTATGTTTTATACGGATTTTCGAACATCCAATTGAACAAGATATTCATTCATTATTGTAAAAAATATATATTCTGTGATTAGCAGAAGCACACTTAAATATGCATTTATTCAAATTATTTACACATTTGAAAAGAGTGCTCCAAAAATGCATTTTCTATATATTATTGAATATATTCAAATTCAAATTACACCGCCCAGTTGCTTTGCAGCACACAGCTTTTGTCTGCAATGCACAACGATCCGGCAACTACGCAACGGCTGGCAATGTTGTAAAATGGCATTCGGTGCTGCTGCTGACGTCCGAACGCTGTCAGCGCTGTCATCGTCGTCGTCGACTGTCAAGTGACGTTTGCTGTCGTGGCGCTGAAAGGGACAGAGAGATAGAAAGTTTGTTGGTTGCCGACGCTTAAGCTGCAGATTTGGTCGCATTGCCTTTTCTTCAATTAAAATAATAATAACATAAAACGCAAAATGTATCGTGAAATGCTGGCGCTGTGTCTGCTTGCCGTTGTGTGCACAACGGGCGTCTATGGCAGCTGCAAGGCGACGGTGAACGCCTTCAGCACACAGGATGCCACAATTCTGACGCAAGTGGCGCATGTGGCCGAATTCTCGCTGCAGTGCAGCAACTCGGCACAGCCCAGCCTCTTTGCTGAGTTCCCCTGCGGCAAGGTGGTGCCCGTTGCCAAGGTGGGCGACAACAAATACCAGGTAAGCAACACTCGATGACATTCTCTTAGGTGATTCCTAATCGGATGGCATTTCCAGGTCAGCTGGGTGGAGGATATCAAGGGTGGCAGCAGCGGCAATGTGCAGGTGCGTCTCTTCGATGAGGATGGCTATGCGAATGTGCGCAAGGCGCAACGCGATGGCGACAAGGTCTCATCGGTGAAATCGCTGCTGGACATCGGTGTGCCCACCAAGGGCGCCTACAAGGGACCCTGGATCAAGGCCGAAATTCTGGCCGCCATTCTTGTTGGCGGCGTTGCCTACTTTGCCTTCACCACCAAGGGCAAGGTGCAGTCCTAATGCAATTGTTTGTTGGGATGTTGCCCAATCGAGACTTCTTGAATGAAATTCATTCACCAAATAATATTCACATACCAAGTAGCAACAAATTCAATCCATTTTCTATAGATTTTCCCACAACTTTTTCTATATATCACACACACACTCATACATATATATATATATGTTTAAGCTACAAAGTCGTGTAAATAAATGAGAGAGTTCATCAGAAGACGACAAAATATCTAATTTATTTTACTTAAAATTTAACAATACATGTTTGTTTTTGTGTAAGATTAGCTGATTATCATGCTCAGTGGACAGCTCCAGTGACCGCAGCTGAAGCCGCTGGCAAGCCACCATTCATATTGCTCTCCTCGTCGGATGAGATGTCGATCATGCTCTCCACACGCGACGGCGACATCACATACACAAAATGCTCCGTGGAACCCTCGTGACCCATTGTTGATGCCGACATTGCCGTTGAACCATCGAGCGGTGGCTGTGGCGGCGGCGTATCTGTGCAATATTTGAGATTCGCTGTGCTGCCAATAGATTCCTCGGGCGGCGGCACACCATTACAATCGAAATTCTCCAGCTCCAGCTCAATGTCGCTAACGATGCGCATGCAGCGCATCTTTGCCAGCGATTGGAATTTCATTGGCATGGCGCGCACCTGTCGCGCCAAACTCAAAAAGAACAGCGTGTTTGCGTCCAGCTCCCGGTTCGCTTGCAGTACAGCGGACACATCCCAATCGCTGGGGTAACGTGGATCGCTCATTTTGCGTGTCTTTGCAGGCGAGGGTTGGGAACAGGAGGCCGCTGCTGTTGCAGCAGAATTGGAGCAACTCAGATTTATGGCAGCGGTTTGTGGCGAGGGCTGAACGCGTCGCACCTTGGCGGCGCTGGGCGGTGGTGGCGGCGGCGGTGGTGTCAGCGTGCCCAGACCCGGTATGACGCCACCATTGCCATTCAGATGACGATTGGCCAAGTTCTGGAAGAGACCCAGTGGTGCACCAGCCGCCGCCGCGGCACTCAGCTCCTTCTTAAAATTGTCGGCGGCGGCAAACAAATGCGGCTCGATAATGAGGCAACCCACATTGCTATTCGCCGTGCTGCTGCAACTGCTGCTGGTCAGCGATGTGGGCAATCCAGCGGCAGCTGCGGCCGCTTTGAGCGTTGCCAGTGGAAACATTTGGGCAGCGGCAGCAGCGGCCGGCAAGCCACCAATGCCCATGGGCAGACTGGCCAAGGTGGCCAGAGCAGCGGCATTGGCGCTCACCGACGCCGCCACAGATGCCTTGAGCGGCATGGCAGCGGCGGCAGCAGACATGGACAGCATGCCGCTATTGGAATTGTTGCTGCTGCAGTTCGTCGTTGGCGGCGTCAGTGCTGCGTGGCTGAGTGATGTGTTGAGTGGTGCGACGGCGGCGCAATTGCTGCTGCCATTGCTATTGCTATTGTGGCACAAGCCGGCCGGATTGCTGCCCGGCGAGATGAGGCTGGGCGGCGTGGCAGCCACACTGGCCGTCAGTATCGGTGTCGTATAACTGTTGACGGTCTGAGTGCTGAGCGCCGATGTGGATGCCGCTGTTGCTGTTGCTATCGTCATCTTCAGATCATCCTCGCCACCATTGCTGGCCGCCTTGGCCAGCACCTGGTAGCCAAAATCGCATTCGGTGTCATCCTCATCGTTCGACTTGCCATTCCCATTAGCCGAATTTCTGTATGGAACGAACAATAGTCAACAATATTAATAAATGTGTTTTTTATTTAGGATTAGTCTTTTTTTTTTTTGGTTTACCTGCCGGGTCCTTGGAATGGCTTGAGAAACTCCATATGATCGGCGTGCGCCCAATATTGATATTTCTTGGAGGTTTTTGTGCCAACGCGAAAGGAGCGCAAATATTTCGTATAACTGTCGCGCAGATTTTTCCATTTTCGCTTCGATGCTTCTGCAAAATATATATTTATAAATAAATATTTCTCATTTTTAATTTAACTTATATATTAAATATTATTCTTAATTGAATTTAATATATTCATTTATTTTTTTAGTTTAGTAAAAAAAAACTGCTAGAAAATTTTAACTGCATACTTTTGGTACACAATTCAGTTAAACGTGTTAATTCATTCATTCGCAAGTAAACACTTATGTGCGCATATACAGTATGTGAATGAAGTGTTTGGACACGGGAAAAATTCATATTTTCTCATTTCTTTTCCAATAAAAAAGTATTTTATTATTGAATTTTATATATTTTCTTATTTTTATGTTATTAACTGGACTTCTTTAAACTATTTTACAAAAAATTAATAAGATTTATTCATTTAATTAATTGTGAAATTATAAAAACCAAAATTGTACATTCTTTGGACTGTCAAATAAATGTTTGAACATCGGCCGTTTACGATTTTGCAATTCCCTTTTCGGCCGATCCCGTTAGAAATTAGCGATTTTTCTTTTCTCTTACATTTCGTCTATGACCTTGGTAAACATATTCTGTTGAAATTGGTCCGTGGAAGATAATTATCGAATAAAAAATTAAACGACACTCATCTTAGAAATTCTAGGCAATCACAAGAACCGTTGTGTTCGTCCCTTGCTCTTAGAGATGGGTGACTTATACGATTAATCATCTTTGACTCAATATCAATAATATCGAAAAATGTTCGACCGATGAAGACTCTTAATCTATCAAGTCACTATTACTTATTATTTAATGTGACGCGCTTTACTGCTCATCCCTAGTTGCCTGTCTCCTCGATTTTGCCGACATCATCCTTTTTAAATCTGAGCAACCGAGACTATTTTTGCTCAATGGGTTTCCTTTTAAGTTTTCGATTTGATGTTTCCCTGTTGCATCAGTTGATCGAGTTATTTCGTTCAGGGTGGACGTGTTTTTGAATTAATTTTCGAGCATAAGCAAATTGTGTATTACTGGTATAGTTTCGAATGTAAGTTAATGTGTACAAGAAACACAAAAAAAAAAAACTGAGCTTGTTAAGAAGTTTAAAACAAGATTGTAATTTATGAAAATATTCATCTAAAAAAACTTAAGCATGCAAATATATTATAAATCGTGAATGACAACTGCAATTTCTGAAGAATTCCAATATCTGCGAGTGTTCACATTTTCAAGTGATCACTGTATCAAAAACAACAAATACTCGGTAATTATTATGTAAGCAACGGCTTCTAATTGCTTTGCCAGCACAGTTTACAATGTATTATATTCCGTTCACCACAGATGCTTCTGTTGCACGACAAGATTTTTAAATTAATATCGCACTTTCAATTACACACTGCATATTTTCATTCATAACCTAGTCACATGTAAATCAGTACTTACAATTAGAAATATTTCGACAGAACTTGAATGAAAGCGAAGTGCAACAGCCGCCGACAACAAGCTCGCCTGACGGAAAGAATAACAACAAAATGCCAAAGAATTTGCGTCGGCATTTGTTTTTATGCTGACATTCGAGAACACGAACTGAAAGGTGGCAGAACTCTGTGAGAGTGAGAGAGAGAGACAAGGGAGCGATGCGCAGAAGCAACAGGGTGTCACAGCTAGTGCTATTATATAAAAGTAAATCACTGAATGTAAAATTCAAGCTAATATTGTTAAATATCAATGTTAAGTAAAAAAATGAACTAAAACCTGAGTGTGATTCACACTTGAACTGCAGTCGGAGGTTTTTGACAATGGATGCGTTATCCTGTTCCCAATCAGACTACATTTTACGTCACAGTACTCTCTCTATCCCGCTCTTTCTCTCTCTGTCAGCATCACTCTGACAATAACAATAACAACAGTACAGAGCGCGCAGCTTGTATCAATTTCGCTCTTGTGTTTTGTTTGCTTTTTCTGCGTGTTCGTGTTTTCATTATGTTCTTTCGCATAGTGTTCCAATTTTGTCATCCAGTTTGTGTTGTTCTCAGGTTGAAATCTTTACTATGCATGTGTATAGGCTACATAAATTATTAAGGATATATTTTGCATTCATTGAATTGATATTAGTTGGTATTGACGCTGGTAAATTAGTTTTTAATGTGACAAGTTGAAAAGGGCGTGTGAGTGTGTGGCTGGCAGGGTATGCAGGCTTCGTCAAGCTTGGCCAGTTTTTCTTGTTTTTGTCTCTCACTGCAATTCGCCGACTGCGGCCGCCTGTGTTCTGCACAGCGCCATGCCATCCGCACCGCACTCGCCCCCACATACACACACACACCGTCATCGCCATCTGTAGGCGCGCTCACACTACACACGGACGTACATAAATACATAAGTATGTAGGTGTGTATGTGTATGTGCATGCGGAGAACACACATACATAAAATAAAACGACCGGCGGTTCGACGTCGCAGCGACGACGGCAAACCATTTGTCCGCTTTACTGTGCGACGCGCACCGCTGGTTGAGTTTCAGTGTGTGTGTTTCGCAGTATATATACATGTGCATGTATGTGAGCAAGTATATATTTATGTGTATGTGTGTGCATGTTTCCCTTGCACGTAGTAATTGAATTTGAGCGAACAGGCGGCCGCCGCTGCTGTTGCTGCTCGCTGTTACCGCCGCAACTTCCTTTTTTTTTCGTAGATTTTTCAGGCAGTCGGCGTATATGTGTGTGTGTATTTGCATTATGTGAATTTTTTTTACTTGTTAGTATGAAGCGACTCCTTACCCACAGATAAACCAATCTCGTCCGCTATTTGGGTCCAGACCTTCATCTTCACCTCAACGTTTTTGTAGTCCGGATTATGATTGTTGTATACAACATCATATTTCTTGACAATATCAATAAAATCGGATGTATTATCGGATGTGGTCGAGGATTCGCTAATCGCACGTGCCACCTTCAATTCCTTCATGGCGACTAAGCTAAGGCTTTTGCTAACGGTTTTTCAAATCAACTTGAGTACTTTGTAGGACTAACACTAGTGCAAAAGTACGCACACACACACGTACGCACGGACGACGCACGCACACAGTGTTAGCGACAGCTACAGCGAACAACAAAAAATCTTTTTATAGGCGTGTGGGCGCGATATTGACCGTTGACGGTGCCCCGCCCTCCCCCCGTTTCACGTTCCCTCCCCGGCACCGAAAAGAAACAGAACAAGCAACGAGCGAACGAACAGCAGCGAACAGTGTGTGAGAGGCGAGAGGCGAGCGAACGAGGCGAAGCGAACGAGCGACTGCCGTTTTGTACGACCGCCTCGACAAAAGTTGGACACTTGAATGAGAAGAGCGCACATGAGCTGCATGCACACAACCTAACTGAAGGCAGCGGCGGCAGCAGCAGCAGAGACCGCAGCTGGCAGCGGCGCCAGCGACGCGACAGCAGCCAGGCCTGGCCAGGCAAGCAGCCAGGCAGTCAGGGCAACAACAGCAACCAACAACAACAAGAAAAACAAACGACAGCAGCGTACGAACGAGAAGCGACAGTGAGGCGAAACCGTTGTTGGAGGACGTGTAAAGAAGAACAAGAAGAAGCAGCGCAAAACCTCATCAACAACAACAACAGCAATCATCATCATCAACATCATCATCGTTGTCGTCGTCGTTGTTGTTGTTGTCGCTCAACAACAGCAGCAGCAACGGCGGCAGGCAGTCAGCAGCCCCATGACATGCACACACAGGCATACAAGCACACATACATCCACATGTATATACACAGAAGGAGAGACAAGAGGGAGAGGTGGTGTGGGGAGGGGGTGGGGAGGCGCACATATAGCGAGGCAGCGCAGTTTGGCGCTCGCAATAAGCGCGCAACGGTTTTGCACCCGACCGCCCGTCTGCCCGCTATACACAGCGCAACGCTCCAACGTTTTCTGTTTCTGTTCACAACCGCCCACATGCGACGCCCGCTGCTGCTCCGCACAGCAGCAGCAACAACAACAGCAAAACTCAATTTCATGACTACGTTTCGTTCGTTCGTCCGTTGCTGTCGCTGCGACCCACAAGGCAAAAGCATGAGTTTTTTGTTGTTGCCGTTTCAGTTTGTTTTTGTCGTCGATGTCGATGTATGTGTGCGTGTGTATGTGTGAAAACCGTACGACTAGTATGCCAGAACTGACGAGCTTCTTACTCAAACCACCAAGCCCCACTCTCCACTCTGCACGTTATACGTTGTTGCTGTTGAGGCGGGGGATGGGGGTGTCCTATTTGCTGGAGTTCGTACAGAATATTATAAGTTAAAGCTCCTTCCTTGCATGGCAACCAAAACGGATCTACACTACTTTTTACAATAAATAGTTGTTTGATCAGTAGAAGTGGATGACTAAGTGTTATTTTTACTTGCAGTTTCCTTGTTTCATTACAATGCGGAGAGATGTTGATTTACCGTTCACTTTGCAGTTAACAGTTGAACCGTAACAGAATTATATTTATGTGGAGAAAGATTTTTGCTGTTATTATGCTGTTAGCTCAATGCAGGATCAATGCACTATGTTAATGTCTACACTCAGCTTTTGGCGATATCTAACGGCTGTTCATCAGTGAGTATTTCTTTCAGTTAACATCTCGTTGCTTGCCTAAAAGTTTACGGCATGTATTTCTTGGGTATGCTTGTGTGCGAGTGTGTTTGTGTGCGTGATTGCACTTAATCTGGACTTTCCCACCCGCAGTGGCAGTGCAACCGCAGTCAGCTTCATTAGCTTATGTCCATAAGAGCACAACATGGCCTGTATGCGTGTATTTGTAATTTAAGAAACTGTTGCACCTTCATTCAATGCGAGGGCAGTTAACATAACCTTGCGATTGCAGAAACTGAAGTTCAAGGTCATTACATAGCACACTTATGTATATGAGTTTATTTATGTATGCATACAAACACATACATACATACATACATCGTTGCACTGCATTCGATTTTGACACCCGCTGTTCGAAATGATCGCTGTTGTTGCTGCATTTGCACTGCTTCCGATTTGTGTATATATATGTATACAAAAATGTCCCTTGTTGTTGTAAAAAGTTGAACTGCTCTTATCAGCAGCAGCTGCGACCACCGCCCTCTCCTTTTTCTTGCACGTTCAATGTGCTTTGGGTCTGTTTTTTTTCGCTTACGCTCTCTGTCCCTCTCTGCCTCTCTCTTGCTATTTGTATTTTTGCAACACGGCAGCTTTTGTTGCTGTTGTTGTTGTACAATAACTTTTGCTGCCGTTTGCCTCCTCTGCTTTTCTTTAGCTTTGTTTTCAATGTTGTCGTCGTCGCTGAGCTGACTCGCATTTAATGTTGACTCTCTCTTCCCCCTCACATTGCCTTCCCCTTCTCGTTTGCACTCATCTCGCATAAGCTGCTTTTTGGCGAGCGAGCGAACGAAACGAACGTACGGCCGACCGCCGCCGCCGCTGACGTTGAGCAGCAGCATCCCAAAAAATTGTTTCCATCGATTGTAGAATTTTGTGCGCCATTGCCAGATACCCCTCCCCGCAGCCCCCCACCATTCCCCTCTCGCAGCGTCATCATTTCATCTCTTGCTGCTGTGGCTCTTTTCCTTTTCCAAGTTGTTTTGTTGCCGTTGCCGTCGTCGACGACGCCACACACTTGGCCCACTCAGCTGTTGTTGCTTTTGTTGCTGCTGCTGCTGTTGTCGACTGTAGCGAACCTACGACCAGTTCCCTTACCCAAGCACTGCGTCCCGCCCTCACTCCTCCTTCTCCTACTTCTGCTGCTACCACAGCATGTGCGTCTATCTGTGTGTGTGTGTGTGGCGGACTAGCGTGCCCCAAACTAAAACGTAGAAGTCGTCGACGTCGTCGTCGTCGTCGCGCCTGCATATATATATGCTATATACACACATACATACACACACACACACACAAACAAATACATATATATGTGTGTGTGCGTTTGTATCTCTTCAGCTTGTGCGCGTTTTTGTTGCTTTTATTATATGTATGTATGTATGCATGCGAGTGTGTATGTGTGTGTGTATTTTTTCGCTTTTCTCTATGTCCCGTGCTTTCAGCCAGCGCGTCGGCAACGGCGACGGCCAACAACAACACCAACAACAACAACAGCAACAACAACAGCAGCAGCAGCAGCAACAACAACAACAGCAGCAGCAGCAACAACAAGCACCTTCCTTTTACCAGCTCCTACTGCCAACGAGACTGACGCCTCCCCCCGCTCCCCACCACTCACTCTACTAGCACGCCTGCCCGCGTCCTTGTGGCCTTCCTCCCGCCCGTATGCCCAGTCACCAGTTTCCATCGTCATCATCATCATCATCAACGGCGTCGTCGTCATTATTATCGTCAGCACTGCCATCAAAAGCCCGGCAGCCAGGCAGGCAGTCAGCCCAGGGACGGCAACGCACGTCTCACACCACTCCCCGCCCCTCCTCGCCCCTACCCTCGCCAAAACAGCTAGCGCCAAATGGCTGAGCGAGCGAACGAACGGTTGATGGAGTGCCAGCAGTAGAGGAGGAGCAGCGGAGCAGAGAGAAGCATAGAGAGAGAGAGAGCGAGTGTGCTGTGCTGTGTTGTGCTGTGCTTGTGCAAGGGAGAGAGAGAGAGAGAGAGAGGCGTGGGGCGGTTTGCGTGCGGTGGCGGCATGAAGCCGGGGGCATGGCTCTGTATATGTATATGTGTATATATTTATGTGTGTGTGTGTGTGCTTGGGAATATAGAAGTGTGTTTGTGTGTGCATGTATTGTTTGTGTATGTGTGGGCTGCTGTTGTTGTTGCTGCTGTTGTTGTTGTTTCTGCTGATTCTCTGCCGCTGTTGCTGCTGCTGCTATTGCTGCTGCTGCTGTTGCTGCTGCTGCTGTTTGGGGTTTTTGCTATCAATGCTGAAGCGGCGCGGCCTACAAAGAGCGACGACGAAGTTGCCGCCGCCGCAGCCGCTGCTTACATTGTGTGTGTTGTTGTTGCTGTTGCTGTTGTTGTTTCGCAAATCGATAAACGATGTCCGGGACTGCGGCAAAGCCAAGCGCTTTGCGTGTATGCCTCTATGTCTGTATTGTGGTATATACACACACATATATATATATATATATATATATATATGCCTGTACATATGTATGCAGATAATTATGTATGTATGTATGTGTGTGTGTGTGTATGTATGTATCTATGTAGGACCCCAAACATGTCCCGTGACTGGTCAGCAGCGTTCAGAATTTTGATGCAGTTATCGCTGCGCCGCTCACCATGTAAACTATGTAAAGGAAATACATATGTGCATACATACATATATATATATATATATATGTATCAATACATACACATGTATACATGTGCTTACTCAAGCTTGGCAACAGCGCTTTGGATTCAAAATTCCATATAATTTCCATTTCAATTCATTATAATTCAGTATTTAGAAACATTAGTCGTATTTTTGATTCATATATATATATAAATTTGGTAAAGATCAAGATCTTAAGTTCAATCTTAAAGTATCTCTCTAAAATTTAGTTTCTTAAGCCCGAACTTTGTCAAAACATTTTTGAGCCATGATCATAACTTAGTTAAATACTGCATATCATATGTACATATATTTCAAAAACTTTGTTTACTCTAGATTAGCAATAGCGCTTTGGTCAAAGCATCCATATTATTTCTACTTTATCATATCTTTATATTTCAGTATTTACAAATATTAATCGCATTTTCAACTTGTAAGCTTTGGTTTGTTTTATTTTTTATATGTTTTGTAAGATCTTCAAGTATCTATCGAAAATGTAGTTTCTGAATTCAAACAAAGTTATCTAAACATAACCAATCCATAATCATGACTTATAGTTAATTGCTGCATTTATTATCACTTATTATAGATTCGTGAAAATGTCGACCTTAGAGGTCCATCTAAATAATATTGCGTTGAATATTAGCAATCCCGTGCACCCCGTCTGTTGGGATGACTTTACTCGTGTCAAAGAGCACGTGCTGCATATTATGCGCCTGCAGGATTCAGACTTTCGTCAGATATGCCATAAGGATATACTCTTTGGTTAGTGTGAGTATACTCGATGTATAGGAACATAAACATATATATATATATATATATATATTCATATTCATTTTAATTTTCATATTCCAACAGGGAGTATGGCGCATGGTATAAAAGCTTGCATCCATCTGGTGGAGGACAGGCAGCTTCCCGAATATGCGCATCTTGACTTTTCCGCGGCCTACTACGATAAAAGGATTCTTGATCGCTTAGCCAATAATAATCGCAGATTTCTGAATCGCGCCTGCCTCCAGAATTGGCTGCAGAATGTCTTTGTAAATGCGCTGGACAAGTATGGCAACACGGTGAACGGTGCCTTGGGGAAATACACGCTGGGCTACAAGTGGCGTGGCATAGCCCATACCATTGAGGCGGTTTCGGAGTTGCGCTCATTTTGCATTGACTTTGTGCCGGCCGTGAAGATTGATCTTTCGCCCGAAACCTTGCATGCACTACCAAAGGGCACCAGTGGTCCGGATAATACGAATTGTTTCACGTTCATAATGAGCAATGAGCAGGCTGAGCTGCAGAATATGGCACGTTTCGGTGAAAATGTGAGAGATGCACTGCGTCTGCTGCAAGCCTTTCGCAAATGCCAATGCTGCGCTGCTATCGCTTTGTCGCCCTGGACATTTGGCTGCCCAGGCGTCGGGGTCTCACCACTGTCGCCCAAATGTCTGTCTCTGAGGTCTTCCTCACGGTATATGTACTAAATCAAAATCATCAACATCATCTCAGTCATACGTTTCAATCAATTTGTCACTTGCAGTTGCTGTCTGATCTGTGTGATGCATTCAAGGCGAATCATCTGCCCAGTGCCTGGCACTCGCAAATTAATCTATTGGACACCCTAACGCCCAGCCAGATGACGCAGTATACCAACAAACTTCATTTGGCCTATCACAAGCTCAATTCTTATAGGTTCGATAAATATCTAAGTTATGCAACTTGTGCCAAACACTTTAAGCAGCATTCAGCTGGCAACCTTTACATTTACACTATTATTAATATTATTTTGACCAATACGACATCAACTTTGTTTGTTTAAATGGAATTTGAACTTTATGGTAAAGCTTACAACATTTTATACTGAATCATTTATGTTTTCAATGAACATATTAAAATTAAAATTATTTTTCGATAAATAACTAATTTGAGTGGATAGATTAGAGATGGAATCGAATCGGGAATAGAGAATAGGCAAATTTTAAAAATCACTCAAGAAATTGGAAAGGATCAAACGGAATCGAATTCAAATACCGACGCCATATCTAAAATAGTTTCTGTGAAAATGAGTTTTGATTTTTGATTTTAATAATACACATTATTTAACATGTGCAAAGTTTTATTAACAAATGAAAAATATATATATTGTATTATGGCTTAAAATTATAGACCATCGTTTTGATGAGTTATTGGACCGATTGGCCTTATTAACTCCACATCCTCGGGAACTGGGATCGTGTGTGTCTGATGTCTATCCTTAACTTGTAGCTGAAATAGCACTTGTACCAGAACAATTACGTAATTAGCCAATGCATTGAAGATCTGTAAGATATATACAATTTATTGCACAATCATATTTTATAATAATTTCGTTTTGGCAATTGTCTTTTGAATTTTTATCTCGAAGGTTTTTTACTAACTGAATAAATATAAAAAAAAAAACAATTTTGGAAACATGTCGTATAAGTTATTTAAAACGAGAAAGAATTTAATGTATATAACAGAATAAATAAAAAAAAACTGACCATAAGGCAAAACCATTTCTTTTTAATTTGAATTTAAAATATATATCGAATAAATAATACTTCGAATATGGGAATAGTAACATGCATACCAAGTAAATCAGGGAAATGTTGATGGGAATACTGGTTCTAGTGGTAGCTATGTGCTTATTATGCATACGCCAATACTGAAAGCACTCCACCTGATCCCGTGCGCTCGCCAGATTGCCAAAATGTGCCGCATAGTTGCTCAGCAGACGCAGGCAGTTCCGTTTCTGGGAGGGATTAAGGTGTCATTAGTTACAATAAGGATCTTCTGCAAGGGGGATTTCTTACCTCACGTTGCAGCAAATAGCCGTAGATGCTGGTAATTATCAGCTTGTAGAAATACGTGACCAGATGCAGTGATATGAATGCATATTGTGTATCCCACGGCTCATGGACGAGCACCTTCTGGCAAAGCATATACACAAAACAGGTCATGTGCGTAAAGTCGTAGAAAATTCCAAAGGCAGCCACAGAGCCAAACACGTCATTCACATCCCTTAAGAGCTGAGAGCCGCGCTTAGAGAACTGAAAAAGCTTATCCATGTTCCGCTGAAGCTCAATCGAATCGACTCCAGCTGTTTTTCCAGCTGCCTGATACTGCTGACCCACCAGCTTAATGATTAGACGAAAGCGTATGCGCAGATAGTCCATGAGGGCAATGTGTATAAATGCAATCCCTCCGACAGTCGTGGTCATCACGGAGTAAGCGCTGGCAATCAGTATTGTGGACACATAGCCACAGGCGCAGCGAGTCGAGTCAAACATGAGAGCCAGTGAAATGAGCCCATAGGCACAAGCAATACCCAAAGTGCCATACAAATATTTGGAGCGACTGCGATTATAGCGCCAGCGGACATGTGCAAACTTCGCCGATATCTCCGTGTCCAGCAGCTGCATGCTGATCAACAATTTAATATGACGGGAGCGGTGCGAGTCCATCGAAATACAGTAGCCCACGAAAATGATGATAGAGGAGATTGCCTCCCACGTAAAGATGATCTTGACCAGCGGCGACAAGTGGCTAAACATCGCCTGCGACATTTGCGGATCGGTCAGCTTAACATAAATTCCAGCCAGGAAGGCAAAGATTAGACCGAAACGCACAACGAGCACGTAGAGGACTCCCAGCGGGGTTGATTTGGGTCCACCATTCTGGTGACTATACAAACGAAAGGTAGTGATGCCCCAATAGAAGACAATACTGTACAGGCTGTCGTAGCAATAAACGAATCCGTCTATCCCTGACGACTGCATCCTTACAACTGTATGCCTGCAGAAACACGCATTTGAGCAATTAGCTCCTTAAATGCCTTTCGATAAAAATCGCGTTGAATTAATAATAATTGAAATCATTTTTTGACATATCGTATCGGCTATCTAACGGATATATATATATATATATATACTCGTATATATATTTGGATATGATTATTTCATTGGGTATTGTTGTCGTTGTTATTTTATTAACTCCACATCCTTGGGTACTGGGATCGTGTGTCCCTGATGAATATCCTTAGCTTGCAGCTGGAACAGCACTTGTACCAGAACAATTACGTAATTAGCCAATGCATTGACGAACTGAAAGATATATAATATTTATTGCATAATATTTTAATAATATTTTTTAATTATCTGGATTTGAAATTGTCTTTTAAATAATAATGTCACACCTACTAATTGTGAATAAATAAATTAAAAACACTTGTTTTTAACAGATGGTTTTTTAGAAAGTAATTTAAAAAACGAAAGCAGGATTTAATTTAAATACATATAATTATTATTATTATTATTATATTATTTTCAAACTATAAGTCAACGAGATCAAATTATTTTAATTTAAATTTGAAATAGAAATAAAAATGGCATAATTTATGAAAAAATAATTGTTTGTCTAAGCAAATACATATTTGATAAATATATAGCTGAAATATTTATCGAATAAATAATACTTCGAATATGGGAATAGTAACATGCATACCAAGTAGATCAAGGAAATGTTGATGGGAACACTCTTGCCAATGGTAGCTATGTGCTTATTGTGCATACGCCAATACTGAAAGCACTCCACCTGATCCCGTGCGCTCGCCACATTGCCAAAATGTGCCGCATAGTTGCTCAGCAGACGCAGGCAGTTGCGTTTCTGGGAAGGATGAAGGTGGTGTCGTCAGATGTAATAAGGATTTTGTGCAAAGGAGATTTCTTACCTCACGTTGCAGCAAATAGCCGTAGATGCTGGTAATTAGCAGCTTGTAGAAATACGTGACCATATGCAGCGATAGGAATGCATATTGTGTATCCCACGGCTCATGGACGAGCATCTTCTGGCAGAGCATATACACAAAACAGGTCATGTGCGTAAAGTCGTAGAATATTCCAGCGGCAGCCACAAACCCAAACACGTCATTCAAATCATTTAAGAGCTGGGAGCAGCGCTTAGAGAACTGAAAAAGCTTATCCATGTTCCGCTGAAGCTCAATCGAATCGACTCCAGCTGTTTTTTCAGCTGCCTGATACTGCTGACCCACCAGCTTAATGATTAGACGAAAGCGTATGCGCAGATAGTCCATGAGGGCAATGTGTATGAAGCCAACCCCCCCGATAGTGCTGGTTATCAAGGAGTAAGTGCTTGCAATTAGTACTGTGGACACGTAGCCACAGTCGCAGCGAGTCGTATCAAACATGAGAGCCAGTGAAATGAGCACATAGGCACAGGGAATACCAAAAGTGCCATACAAATATTTGGAGCGACTGCGATTATAGCGCCAGCGGACATGTGCAAACTTTGCCGATATCTCCGTGTCCAGCAGCTGCATGCTGATCAACAATTTAATATGACGGGAGCGGTGCGAGTCCATCGAAATACAGTAGCTTACGTAGGTGATGATACAGGAGATGCACTCCCACGTAAAGATGATCTTGACCAGCGGCGACAAGTGGCTAAACATCGCCTGCGACATTTGCGGATCGGTCAGCTTAACATAAATTCCAGCCAGGAAGCCAAAAAGTAGACAGAAACGCACACCGAACGCATAGATGACTCTCTGCAGGGTTGATTTGGTTCCACCATCACCCAAACGAAAGGTGGTGCCACCACCATAGAAGAGAAGCCTGTACATGGAATCGTAGCAATCCACGAATCCGTCTGTCCGCAACGACTGCATCCTTAATACTGTTCAAAACCGGAAGCACGCACGTCAACTTTTAGCTCCTTAATTGCCTTGCGATACAAATCGCTTTTTATTATTTAATAATTGAAAACATAATTTGCCAGTTCGGCTTATTTAGCGCCCAATACATATACACACATATTGTGTCGTCTATCTAACGGCTATATATATATATAATATTACTTCATATAAACGTATTTAATTGGCGTACTTTAGTTCTAGTTCGTATTGTTGTTGTTATAGTTGTTGCTAAACTGATGATTTTTTTTCTTCATTTTTTGTTCAAATATGAAAGATGCTTTCGCCTGTTGTTGTTGCTGTTGTCGCCGCTGTGGTTGTGGAGGATGTTGTGTGTGTGGTGTGTGTTTTGTTGGATATTAAGGAACATCAATCAACTGGTTGTGTGTGTTGCGTATCCCTATTCAAGTTCGACGATCCTTCTTGTCGCTGATAGCACCGTTGGTATGCGCATGATTGTGCAAATCGGATTTTTTGCGTCGCAGCGTTTTCTGCAGGACATGCGCATCCGCTGGCTCGATGCGTTTGTAATATTGCTCTTTGGTGTCGACAATCTCAAAGCCAAATCTCTTGTAAAACTCGATGGCACCATCATTATTAATTTGCACATGCCTATGAGTGTAAAATGTATAAATATATATCGTTGCTATTATAACTAATGGCAATCTACTCACAGAAAGATGCTGTCGAAATTGCCATCCTTTTCGGCATAGTTGAGTATGTGCTCGAACATGACGGTGCCGATGCCCAGTCGTCGATATGGCGATAAACAGCCCAAGGTCATGATGTAGAGGCGACGTTGATTGTCCGTCGTATCGATGCGACAGCAGACGGCGCCAACAACAATATCGTTGTAGTAGGCAAGCTTGGCCAGTTCGCCGGCTTCCAGCACGTCCACGTAGAATTTGTCATTGTAGCTAACGGGGAAGACGACAGTGTTGAGCTTCTTCAGTTGCTTGATGTTGTGTGGCGTTACGTCGCCCAATTCGATACTGGATCTGTAAGAAATTCGACAACACGATGATACATATTTTTTTCTTTTTTTTTGGTTGCCTCGTTCACTTTTAGGTTAGGGTTTTCGGCGCCCTTTTGGATGGGTTGTGGTCGCTGCGCGAGCTAACGTACTTACCTGGTCATTGTTTTTGTTTGGCTAATTATTGATGCTTTAACAATGCGCTTGGCGCTTTAATTTTGTGTTTAGAACTGTTTCAAATTGGAATAAAACGCTATTATCTTGGTAAACTATTTTTACGCATTCATCGATATGTTTATCGAAAATGCTAAATATCGACAACAGAAAACAGCTGTGAGTATCTGTGGGAAGTGTGACCAGCTCAAAAATTACCAATTGTGAATTAATTGTTGCATGTGTTTTTGATTTAACAGGGTGACAATTGTCACCACAGGTCACACTGCGTCGCGTTTTGTTGTGAAAATTGTGATTGAATTAAGGGCAAAATGAATCCGAACATGAATATGATGCAAATGTCGGGGCCACCCATGATGCAAGTGTCGCCGATGATGCAGTCATCGCCACAGCCAATGATGCCAACTGGTCCACCCGGTCCCGTATCCCTGCAACACCAACAACAACAGCAGCAACAGCAGCAGCAGCAACAACAACAACAACAGCAACAACAGGCGGAAAAATTGGACAACATTTCGAGAGTGAAAAGTCTTTTGGGACCGCTTCGCGAATCCATGTTTCTCACCATACGCTCGAGTGCATTCACACTGCAACAGAACAATCTGGCCGATAATTTGAAGCGGGACACAGGGGGACACGGGCACATGCCGCGCTTCGACAAGCACCTGGAGGACTTCTATGCGTGCTGCGACCAGATGGAAGTGCATCTGAAGACCGCCATTCAATGCATGCAACAATTGACATCGTCGCAGCATTATCTGCCTGGCGCTGTGACTGCCATGCGCATGGATAACTTTATGACAGATAATCCCGCCGGTCACATACCATATCCCACTTATTTGAATACGGTTCGGGTGCATGTGCAGTCCGCCAAGGATATTCACGATACGCTGATCAGTGCTGCCCAAAATATATCACAGGCCGATTGATAATTGTAGTACGCTTTATGTTTAATTATAATGAATTACTATTAAGCTTATGATTTAAGTGAAATTATACTAAACTCAAGGTTTTCCTATCTTACGAAAACTTTTAAATAAATAATGTTAAAAGAAATAACTATATAACTTGAGGTCATTAAAGTTGATTTTTTAATGCTTCGCACAATTTTCAAAACAAAAACCGCCATCTATACGCTAAAAGCATGAACTAAGAAATATCAACAAGACAAAAAGGCGCCAGTGCTGTCAGCCTGTTTCGGAACATTATATTGTTTTTTCTCTGGTCACACTAAAATCTGACAGCAGATTGTTTCGGCATTTAGCGCCTCGAATTTTTAGTTGCGTCGTTAGCTCTTTTTTTATTTCGTCAGCAATGACGAGTGTACGCAAAAAGAAAAAGCATAAATGCGACTCGAGGGCCTCTGCCCAACTGCGCAAATGGTTAACCACCCCAAAGAGCACAAAGAGGTATATAGCGTCACTAACAATTATTACAATTCCGATCTGGATGCATTTGAAGTGTTTTATTTGTAGTGCGCCGTTTCCAGTCACATTCAAAATGTTTAGCAACGTTGTGGAAAATCTGCCGGACATCGCCTTCCAGATACAGTGCGCCGAGATTGGTGCGACCAACAAAACATTGGATGAGTGCGCTCAATGGTATTACAATGCCTTCTATTCTGAGCCCGCTGTTCGCTCGAAATACGAATTCCGGCTGAGATCCTGCCCACTGACTGTGAAGGAGAAGTTGCTGCAGTTGCCGGACGGAGTTGTTCCAGCCGATATTGAGAAGGATACTGAGCAGTTGGAGACCGAGGATGGCGTTGTGGTCAAAGTAAACAGGTGAGCTAAATAACATAAATTTATACATTTTTTATAAATGATTTTGATTGATTTTCAGATTCGGACGATTCCTATTTCCCGTTTCGTTGGCCACTTTCGAGCAGAACATCGATAGGAAGATGGTGCTCGACTATCTTGTTCGCAAGGAGACTGATAATGTGAAACAACGTGCCGTCATGTTGTCCGATGAGGCAACGTGTCGGAAGCTCGTGCGCAAATACTACAATGCCTTCTACATCTTTCGAAATCAGCATAATCTGGACAAACGGAATTTTAAGGAGGCGCCAGCGGCACTGAAGACGCAGCTGCTGAAAATGGGCTCACCGCTGGATGAGCAAGCGGTGGAAACATTGAGGAAAAAGTCAGAGTAAGTTACAATGCTTTAATCCTCGCATAATCTGCTGATTATCATTTGAATCCGCGCAGAAAGAAGCAGGGCAAAACGACTAAAGAACTGCCCCAAACCACGAGTCAGCCGAGCAGGTGAGTTGAATGCCAGCAGCATATGCTGATAATTAAATATCTCTAGTATTTGCAGCTTAAAATCAATTGTGAGCTATGTCGTTTTCGAGAAATACATCACAAATATCTATGATATCGTATTTCGACTAAAGGTCAACGAACCCGAGTATGCTTACAAGGGATTTGAGGAATGTGCCCATGCGTATTATTTGTCCTTCTATTTGACGCCGGAAATACGCGACACTTATCCATATCAACTGGCAGGCTGTACGACTCGACTGAGGAACCTCATACTCGCTCTGCCGAGCGAAGAGGATGCCAGGATACTGCGACAAATGCAGATGCAGAGCGAACCGTTGCCAGCTGCAATACAGCATCAAGTTGAGGATCAAGTGGACGATGCAGATGTTGACCGACAACCGACGGACATTGTTCAATTAGAGGATCCTCCAAATATCCAACAAGCAACGCAAATTGTCCTTTCTGAAATGGTCGATCAGCCGGCAGTGGACTGCGAAAAGTAGGAGTTGAAGTAACCATATAAATAACTGAACTATATCCCTGATTATCTTCTACAGACAGTTGTCGCCCGAGATTGAGATTGTTGCTGCAACTGATGAGCAGGCGTCTCTCCCAGTCACGCCTCCAGTTACATTCAAAGTATTTCAGCGTTTCGTCAAAAATCTTGATGAGATTGCACAACAAATGCTGCGCAGCGAGGAATATCAAGGCAAATCGAAAGATGAGTGCGCCTTGGAGTATTTTCAGCAATTTTATGCAAATCCACAAATACGCGTTCGCTTTGAGTACGAGCTCAGAGCATGCCCGGCCAAGATGCGAAAAAAACTGCTAAGTTTGCCAGCAAAAGTTGTCGTTTCGTCTGATAAAATCATGGACGCTGAGAAGGACTGCAATGATAACCAAACTTCGTTGCCATCCGAAAGGAATCTGATTACAATCAATGGTATTACCTATGAATATCCAGTTTCTTTGGAAACATTTCTGCGCTATATCAATTACGATGAATTGAAAACTCAAATCGTTAAGACCTTGGATAAGCAAACAGGCAAACCAGCAGGCAGCAGTTCGTGTGATGATCAATTCATTAAACGCTTCTATTATACCTTCTATTTGGACGATAGATTGCACCAAAAATTCAAAAACCATTTTAATGCAGCCCCAGCAGAAATTAGAGAAAAATTAACGCAATTGGCAATAGCAGTGGGCAGCGAGGAACAACAGGAGACGAACAACGTACTTAAGTAAGATTCTCGTTGTTAGTCAAATTGAGTGAATTAAAAAACGCCAAATCTATTAAAGAACGTCAACTGAGTTGGCACTGGAGCAGACACCAGGGAAGGCGACGGAGAAAGCAACAGAGGAGACACCGGAGCAGGCGCCGAAGCATGCACCGGAGCAGCCACCGGAGCAGGCAACGGAGGAGAAATCGGAGCAGCCACCTGACAGCGCACTGGAGCAAGGATTGGAGCAGGCACCGGCGCAGCAACCGGAGCTGGCAACGGAGGAGAAATCGGAGCAGCCACCTGACAACGCACTGGAGCAAGAATTTGAGCAGCAACCAGAGCAGGCAGCGGAGCAGGCACCGGAGCAGGCAGCGGAGCAGGCAGCGGAGCAAGCAGAAACTGAGAAGAACTGGTAATTACTTAAATATATACTGAAAATTTAAAATCAGTTTGAGCGTTTTAACCAATTGTAGTGATGTGGAAATGCCTGAAATGATCAGTTCTGGTTGCGTATTCGATGTCGTTATGGATCTTGGCAAGTATGAGAAATCTTCTTTCTTCTTTTGAATGTTTATTAAAAAGTTGTAAAATCTATTTTATAGTGCTGGTCGTTATATGTTTCCGGTGTCTTTTGAAACGTTCGAGCGTTGCATAAACTACGGTGAACTAATTAGGCCATTGTTGATGCGTGTCACAGAAGACGAGTCACAATTGGCGGCGATGGTACCAAATTCCCGACATCCACAGTGTCAGAAGATCTTTCGAAGATATTATCGCTCGTTCTATGTGCGTCCAATCGTTCGCACCCAATATGAATATCGATTTGCGAATGTGAGCGAACAGTTATTGTCTAAACTCTTGGCCTTTGCTGTGCCGCTGAATGAGATTGCCAAAAAACATGTGGATGAAGCTGCAAGGGAAATGGCACAAAAGGTAAATGAAGAAGAGGATCAACTATTCAAAACCTTTCCCGTCTCGTACAAAGCATTTAAAAACTGCTTTACGAATCTCAATGGAATCGTGCAGCAAATGATGAACTGTGCGGAGTACAAGGATAAATCTGAAGATGAATGCGCCTTGGAATACTATAAAGCTTTCTATACGGATCCACAAATGCGTGAAAAGTTTGAATACAAGTTGAAACCATGTCCGGCTACACTCCGAATAAAACTGCTAAAGATGCCAGAGGTTGCTGCTGCTCCTACTCAACAACAAGCTGAATGTGAATCTCAGCCCCAACGAGAAGAGCCTGTGAAAGAAGTGACTGAGATTCCCACCACCAACATGGATATGCTGGTGCAGAGCGAGAGGATTTTGATAACGTTGAAGGACATCACTTATGAATTTCCAGTTTCCTTTCAGACGTTCACACGTTGCATTAACTACGACTCGGTACGGGTTGAGCTAGCAAATACGCTATCGACAGACAAACGGGACGACGAACATATTTTGGAGAATGAGCGCAGTGATCTGCGAATGCTGAGGCGCTTCTATCACTCATTCTACACCGACAGGCGAGCGCGCCATTTGTGCAATTATAATTTTGATGCTGCACCCGTTGACTTGCAACAGAAACTGCTACAGTTAGCTATACCTTTGGCCAGGCAGAGCGATAATAAAGCGTCAAGTGTTGCAGTCACCGAATGTGCCTTAGCCTTGCCACAGGATTCACTCGCAGTCACTGAACCACCAAGAGTTGAGCAGCTGGCGGCAGTGGCACAGTCGCAACCCAAAACGGCCATTCAATATCCCTTGTCGTACAATATTTTTTCAAAACTACTCAAATTGGATGAGGTTGTCAAGCAAATGCAGCTGGAGCCGCAGTACGCCCAGATGAACGAAGATGACTGCAAACTGGCCTACTTTGATGCTTTCTATCGGACGCCGCAGATACGAGATAAATACAGGTGCATGATGAATCCGTGTCCGGCTGCACTGAAATCAAGATTGTTGGAAGTGCCACAGCAGAAACCCCGGCGGGATCCAGCAGCCGTCAAACTGAAAACCAGACAAGCACTGTATGCAGCCAGAAAAGCAGAACTTGCCAAGTAAATAATGCGGCTCAACTTTATTTAAACCTGATTTAACAATCTCTTTTTTTCAGAATGGAAAAGTTGAATGTGGTTCGTTATACGCCCCACAATCTGTCAACGTATATCGCGCGGCGCATAAAGTGCCCCAGGATATGCGGTTTGTTGGAGAAACATTTTGTGGGCACGAAGAAGCAACAGTTGGTTAAAGAAAGCACAGAGCGAAATGCAACAGCAGCTGAAGGGTTAAAGGATAATCAAGTGAAAGCAACTACTGAGAACGAGACTGTTGCAGATGCGCTTGCAACTTGCGCTGAGGAGATTGGTGAAGCCGTTGCAAAATGTACATCAACAACAACAACAGCTATAATCGCAACAAACATAGCAGCAGCAACAACAGTTGCAAGTGTTGCAAGCAAAGCGGATAATATAACAGCGGCAACTGGCAACACAGCAGCAACAGTTGCAAAGAGCGCTACAACAACAGCAGCAACTGTAACAACAACTGTCAGCACAACAGCAACAGTTGCAACGAGAGACTCAACAACCCCAGCAACAGAAACAACAACTGCCAGCACAACAGCAGCAGCAACTGTCAGCACAGCTACAACATCAACTGGCAACACAGCAGCAACAGTTGCAAAGAGTGCTCCAACTGCAGCAGCAACTGTGACAAAAATTGTCAGCACAACAGCAGCAGCAACTGCCAGCACAGCTACAACAACTGGCAACACAGCAGCAACAGTTGCAAAGAGTGCTCCAACTGCAGCAGCAACTGTGACAAAAATTGTCAGCACAACAGCAGCAGCAACTGCCAGCACAGCTACAACAACTGGCAACACAGCAGCAACAGTTGCAAAGAGTGCTCCAACAACAGCAGCAACTGTGACAAAAACTGTCATCTCAACAGCAACAGTTGAAACGAGAGCCTCAACAACTCCAGCAACAGCAACATCAACTGCCAGCACAACTGCAACCATAACTGGCAACACAGTAGTAACAGTTGCAAAGAAGGAGCTCTCAACAACAGCTGCTAGCACGACGACAACAACTGTAAACAGTACAACTACAATTTCGTCAGCAACAACAACTGCAAGCAAAGCAACGGCAACCACTACTGAGACAACAGCTGTGACAAGGACAAGTGAACAACTCTTGAATTTGCTGATGGAAGAGGGAAGCAAAGCGAGCACCGCTTCACTAGCAACAACTAGCTTGAACGATGCAACAGCTTCCGCTTTTTTCAAGGACAGCAGCAAGGTAATAATTAAACGTTTATTAAAAACCATAACTAATTTGTTATTTCCATGCAATAGGAGCACAATCTCAAGTATCTGATATGCACGAGTTATGGCCTAAAGAATACCATTTGGCGTATCCTCTCGTCTTTGAGCTATAAGGAATTCGAGTTGTATACGAGCATCTATGAGGACACGTCGTTCTACAAGGATGCGAGTATTTTGGGAAAATGCTATAATCATGTGCTGAGCAAGGGAAACTGGCCGATTAATCTGCACGTCAAGTTGCAAAAGCTGCCGCAACTGTTGCACAGCAAAGGCATACGACTAGAGTCCTTCGATTTGGGTCAGTTGTCGCCAAAGATGCTGCATTGGACCGAACTGGTGCGGTTCAGCAATTTCTATGAGATTGTTGAGCAGGAGTTTAAGGCACGCACTGGCCAGGACATTGAAGATATGCAAGAATTGCACAATGAGATTGTGGAACACTATACGCTGTGCTGGGCACACGATCACTGGCTATATCAGGTGCCCCAAATAACGGCCGAGGAGCTAACTCAGTCACTTAACGCGATGCAGCAGGTGCCAATTGAATTCTCGGAACCGCCTTCTACAAGTGAGTGTAAATAGTTTTTAAATGCTACAATTTGTGTTAACCAGTTTCTTATTTTAAGTGCCACTGTGCATGATTGAGGATTGCATTGGCTCATCTGGCGAAGTGGTCGCCAATAGCCCAGAGCAAAATCCAACAGAGCTTCCTCCTCCCAATGCAGGTCAGTTTTGCTCTTGTAATGTTAATGAGTAATTAAATGCAATTATTTTCTTGTCTATAGTGCTTGAGGATTCTAATAATTGTCCGGCGACACAACTTGATGCATCGCTCTGCCCGCCATGTTTTGTGAACATGGATAGTATCTGTCCGGCCTCACAAGCGGCGGACCCTCAAAACGATCCGCTCAATCAGAGCCACACGCAGCCGGCAATTGTCATCAAGAAGGAGCCAGTTAAATTGCTGAACATGATGCGCTTCTCGCCCAGCAGCAATGTGAGCGGGGAATTCAATTGCGAACTTATAGCGTCGGAGGATCAAATCATCAATATCGACAATGATGAGGATCAACAAATAACCGCCGATCTTGCTTGCTTTTCGATGCCTAATTCACCTCCTGTTGAAGGCTTGTCTCAACCGCAAGATATAATTCAAGAATTGTTTTTGGAGTTGCTTCCAACAGTTCCTTATTCAGAGATAAAGTGGCACTCTCCAAATCCCCCGTGGACACCCTCAGTTGCCGGGCAACCGAGTCTAACATCAGTAGCAGTGCAACAACAGGCAGAGCCAATTCCAGCATCAGCTCCAGTGCAACCACAGGCAGAGCCAATTCCAGCATTAGCTCCAGTGCAACCAACAGCAGAGCCAGCGCCAGCGCCGGCGCCAATCAGAACCGTGCTAGGCAAACAGAAGGCGACAGCAGCAGCAACAACAGTGCCCAGAAAAAAACTACGTTTGATGACGGACAATGTGCCACAGTTAAGGCACGAGTTTCGTCCGTTGCCGCTTATAGCAATGGTACGCATCGAGCCGGATGGATTTGCCGCGCATGCAAACAAAAAAATGTCAACGCAGGAGTTGCCCACAGGTTCGAATCGTGTCAATCAGGAGCCGCAAGGATCCGCCGCGCCTACAAACAATGAGTTGCCGACATACCAGCAACTGCAGGAGTTGTCCCCGAGTTCCAATCAGGGCAGTGAGGATCAACCAGCGATGACTGCTTCCCAAGCGCTCTCCACAGACAATACACTGTTGGCGTCTTCGCAACTGCAAAATTTGCTGGACGCTCCATTTGTTAGTCAGCGCAAGGTAAATTTAGTAATAGATGAGATTAGTGCTAGTAATACGCAGCAAGAAACCCAGGCGAGGACACAAGCCATGCTTCAAAGACCAAAGATCATCGTATTCCGCAGTCTGCAGCGATTTATATACTTTGGCTGTCTGACGACGGCCCACATTAGCAAATATCACATTAACAGCCTTGTTGTGGGTGGTGCCTATCAGCAGGCACTGATCTCCGTTCATGGACAGCTCTGCAATGTCTATGGTCCATTGCTGGAGTCCTTGTTCTCGTATTGTACGCCCAGTTTGCTGGCTGATCTGCAGTATTTGCTGTCGGAAGTTGGCGAGTTTAGCTACAATTTGCACAGTTCCTTGAAAAAGGATGCCACTGTAGATTTACGCATGCGAGTCCTTGCCATTTTCATGCGTGTGGCGAGTCCTTTTGCCCAGTTTAGTCTTGAATTCGAGAACGAGACGCGCGAATGGGCTGCCTGTGGTGTTGTGAATAAATCAGTGAGTAAATCCACCAAACGAAATCCCAAATGTGATGTTAGCTCAGTAATACGACCTGAGATACTCGAACGTATGCGACAGGTCAAGTGTTTATTATAAAATCTATTTATTATATCATCTTTTTTTTAAATAAAAAGGAAACTGATTTATACACTGTAGTCTCACATGTTTGTTTCTCTCTTTTCAGAAGCGATAATGATAGTAATTGATGTAATTATGTGCCTGCTGTTGAGTTCTTTTCAAATTTGCTGTCATTTAAATCTTTAAGAAGTTAAAGATTGTCAATCAGACAGTCGAACCTCGATAATTGTTACTTTCTCATTCAAAATCAGTCTCTTAACCATTCATCAGTTTAATTATGTATTTATGTATGATATTAAAATTGTTTTGAAAATAAAAGAGGCTTGTATTACTGCATTTATTGCAATAGAAACTAATGAAATAATTTAGGTATGATATCATCAATCTCCAATAACTAAATATTTATTTTTAATAGTTAAAAATCGTATTCCTACGATCAATATTTTTTAAATTTTTGATTTAATTGCTATCGGTAATCAGTTGAAAGAGATCCGGAAAGTGATCCTTGATATTCATATGCAAAATGCCAATTAAGGCGCAACTATTATTTTGGTGTGGGTATCTAGACACAATTAAGAGAACAGAAGCGCAGATTTTAACAATAACAACTGAGAGGCGCCAAAATAATAATGCTTAAATGGTGTTCAATTTATATGACGAAGGTTGGGGAAGTGTTTGAAGTATCATAGAATTGTTTTGTATTATTTTCAAAATGCAAGCTGTAGATTCCCCACAGCAATATTCTGTTGCAACGCAGAAAAATTTATGGAGAGTATGACATCAATTTGTTTTTATATTTTTAAATAAAATAAATTTAATCTGTGCAAATTACAAATGAATTGTTATTAAAGCGTCGATTGTAAAGTGAATCAATGGAGACAAGTACTAAAGGGAGGATTATTTGGATTTTACTCTGATAATATTAGACATCTATATCTTATAAGACAGTTTTATGTGCAGTTTTTTTTACTTTGTACTCGAAGGCAATTTCAAATTTTAAATTAGCACACAGATAGGCAAAAGACGAAAATACTTAAAATACTTTTTGCATGTTTGCCATTCAGATTACCATCCATGTAAACACAGAGTTGTTTTATAGCTTCTGGCAGAGTTGCTTTCCCAATTTAAAGCTGTAATTGGCGCGCTTTTTAAATATCCTAGCAGCAACCGTAGAAGGTTTAGTCTAAAAATTATACTGAAATTATATTAAATTAAGTCAAAAGAAACTATTTATGTAAATGATTGTAATTGAGAATAATTATGTTTATCATAATTCAATAATTATGTTTATCATTTAACATAGAATGTTTATTTGATGACTGTTTGCTGCTGCACTAACAAATGTCAACCTAATGAATATATATAGAACATTTTATAACATTTTGATAAATATGTTTACCTTAACCCTATCATCGGTGCCATCTCGCACAACCCTTGCCCCGCTGTCCACACCACAAATATGACACACATACGGAACACAAAACAAACAAGCAACCGAAAGGAGAACAATTTAATTAGCGATGACATGTTGTCATTTAATTTTCTTGTAAAAAGTGTAATTAAAAATGTGCGCATCGCAGCTGGAGTGGCAGCTAGAAACAGTTTCAGTGGCAGTGCCAGGGGCAGGGACAGGGGCAGGGACATTGTCTGTAAAGTTTGCCGCAACCGTAAACAAACATACACAGTGCGATCATATATCGGTTTGGTCGGGTTATAAATCATATTGTTGCTGCCTTCGGGGCTGCATATTAGGCTCTAAACGACGAGATAATCTATGGGCAATGGGACCCGTCTACAAAATGTTGCAAGTGGCAATAAATTTGGAAAATACAAAACACGCTGACAAAATTTTCCACATAAAAGGTGTGCGGCGAGTGTGGGGCATTACCACTACTTTTGAATAGTTGTGTGTGTGTGTGTGTGTGTGTGTGTGTGTGTAAGGGACTCTCTGTGTCCTGTGAGGACAAACTCGCAGTCACGTCAACACTTTCAACTCTTTTTCTAACTATAAGCTAAGCTGTTGTTGCCCTTTGTTTTGTTTTGTGTGCTTTGTTTTTGTTGTTTATTTTCATTCGTATCCTTTCGGCAATAAAAATTCCGCTTGCTATTTATCTTGATTGTCCCTTCGCTCAAGTCCAAGTCCTTGCCACGTCGTGGGGGCACTTCAATGTGGCATACATTGTGTTGCCAGCCAGCCCGAGCTGTGTCGCGTCGCTAGAAATTTTTTGCTTAATGAAATGTACATAAAACTAAATGAAATTAAGTTTCTGACGTGCTCGTTTTCCAAGAGGCCACCCCTCCTTAATCCTTGGTTGCGTTTCGCGTTTACTGCGTGTTTATTACCACAACGGGCATAAAATGCAAAAACCCGCGTCCACCAACATAAATGGCACAAAATGGCCGCCAACGCTGCCGCCTCCAATTTGAAGTAGCCAACCCTTTACCAGGGCAGCCGAGACAGTCCAGGACTGTCCAAGCTGATTTTATATCCCCACCCGCCACGCTCTGACAAAAAGGATTTTTCAAGCACTTAGCTTGGGTGGGGGGGAGGGAAAGGGAAGCAGCAACTTGCAGCTGCAAAAACCTCATAAAGTCGAAATTAAATAATTTGTCTTCTTAATTTTCAAATAAATTCTTCATCATCCAAATAAAGGAAACCCCAAGCAGCTAAAACAATTGTGCGCAAACAGAAAGCAGAAAAACAGCCAACCAGAAGCGTGGCGAAATCGCCGACAACAACAATAGCAGCAACAAACAAAACAAAACCAGTAAAACCAAGCCACCATCCCCAACCACCATTTCATCCACCCACCCACGCACACATCTCAGTTCGCCCTCCTGCCCCCATCCCGCTGAGGGCAGTCTCGCACTCGAGATGTTGCCGCGCAGGGACTTTTATTAAATTCGACCTACGCCATGCCATGAATATGCGAGCACTGCCTGTCCTTATGTTCTCATCCTCATCCACATCCACATCCGCAGCCGCATCCTCATCCTGATTCCCGTTCCCATTGCCATTCCCATTCCCATTCCTGTTTGAGCCGCCCTCGCGACAGTTTTCGTATTGTATTTTTTAATATGTTTGTCTGTCTGTCTCTCTCTGTCCGTCTGACTGTTTGTCTGTCTGTCGCCAAGGCACAAATAATCGTGTACACCATTAATCCTTATTTCACGGCATTGTTCTCATTTCCCCTCACCGCCCCCGGCCCAAGTTAGCAGCATCCCCCTTCAGCGACGCACAAGTGGCATGTAAGCGATTATCGCTCAGATAAATGTATGAAGCAGAAAAACAATAAATGTAAAAACAAATAAAAGGGTGTCAATGACTCTTGATAATAGAAATGATAGTCAACAAAAAAAAAAATAAATAAAATTAAAATACTAGCACCAATTTCGGTGATGCACTGCTCAAAATCTCCAACAAATTATTTGAAATCATCCTGTTTCGAAATGCTACTTCATCAAGCATAAACTCATTTTAAGATGTAAATATTTAAAGTGATATATCAAAGGAAAAGCAAATTATTAAAATGGTCCTAATGTCGAAATGTTGAATCTGTGTAAAGCTTGGAAATGATTGTGAATCGCAAATAGTAAAAAATATATATATCAAAGTAGGAGCTACAACAAAATTAATACAGCTGATAAAGTAAAAGACTCTTAACAGACTATATTCTTTATATTACTTTATTCTGTACTCTTAAGTAAATCTCTATAAAACTATAAATTCAATTGTAAATCAATTTAATACTTGATTAGATTGTTAGCTTCTGCTTGGTGTCATTTTCTTAAATTTTAAACTTATTTTAAAGGGATTTCGTGCTTTGAGGCATCCTCTATTTATTTCATTTGAGTTTACGTTTGGAGGAATGCCAGAGATTTGCAGATTATTTAAGTGATGGTAAATGTAGTAAATTCATATCAATTATTTGTTATTTAATGCCATTTACATGTTAATTTACGCTTGCATTGATTGCTTGAGATTTTCTCTCTGTGTAGATGAAATCTCGTGGCAAGAAACCAATAAAGTCCAACGACAGCTTTCAGCAATCACAAAACGATTTGTAGCACACGCACAGCCTAAAGCAACCAAACAAGAAGCAAGCCAGCAAGCAAGCAAGCCAGCAACCAACCAAGCAACTCCCCAACCACCCACTAAATGTCCTCGTGCTTGATCCTGGGCCAAGGCGCCCTCTTTCAATAGTTGCGCACGCTTTCCGCTTGGCCTAATTGCCAGATCAGCAGCATCAAGATGCTTGTGCTGACAATGCCTGATGCTGATGCTGTTGCTGCTGCTGGTGATGAGAATGAGAATGATGATGCTGCTCTGGTCCTGCTTGGAATGTTGGACTTTTTGACATATACAAATTTTCGGGGGCGCTGTGCAAAATGAAAAATGACAACATTGCCCAGGGTCGAATGACGACCGCACGCACAGAGGGTATAGAATAGTAGTGGGTTTCGGCAGAGGAGAAGGGTCTGTGAGGGGAAGGCCATGACTTTCGGCTGTGTGTGTGTGTGTGTGTGTGATCCCTTTTGCATCCTTTTGATGCTGCGAGGGTGCGAAACGTTTGAATGCGAAATTAAATGATAAAAGATAGCAAGGACACACGCACCGACGAGCGTATGTTTTTGGGCATCAAGGAAGGGAATACAATCAACCCCCCAACCCCTCCCCTCCTGCTCCGCTCCAACCCACGCTGATGATGATGGGCCGCCCTTCATTTACGCGCCGTCAACGTTGAAGGTCGAGCACCTGTTTTATTAAAAAGCAAATAAGCGAATTGTGCACAGCCCAGGACACCGCAGACAGCAACAGCAGCAGCAGCAGCAAAGGAAGGGCATTGTTAATGTTAATGGTCGGGTGGTGGATTCGGTTGTGGCGGCCAGCTGGGCAGGGTGCGGCACAACAACAACAACAGCAACAACAACAGCAAAACAACAGCAATAACACATCCTGTATATATTAAGGCTCATGGACTCATGGACTGTCAAGTGGTTGGCGTAGCATAATAATTGTGCATATTTGGCTTTTTAATAAAATCTAATCGTCATGGCAAGCAGGGTGTGGAGCTGCAAGGGGGCGGCGGTGTGAGTGCGACTGGGCTGTGGATGTGGGTATTTGTCAGTATGTGTGTCTCTCTGTGTGTGTGTGTGTGTGTGTGTGACGTGGCCAGCCATTAGCGGCAAGTGAGCTCATGGCTAAATGAAATTTTAATTAAATTTAACCAAAATACACATTTTTCGGCTTAGCTACAAAGGGTGGGCTATCAAGGGGGCGGAAAAGGATGGGGCAGTTGCATCGTTGCATCGGCAAATGCGGCAAATGCTGTGC